CCCTTTGCTTAGCCTGCCTGCTGACATTCCACTCTGCTCATTTAGCAGCTCCCCCGTCAATCACAGGTAGCTGAGCGGACCAGACCAATCCCAAGTGCCCCCGTACCCATTAGGAGAAATTACCCTATCATGTAAAAACAATTTAAAGGTCTTTCCCCGCCCTCTGTAATGATATATAAAAACTGCTTGCCATGCTGGATCAGGGCTCTCGTCCCTGAAGCTGCTGCTTCGGGCGTGAGCCCAGACTCGAGCCTGAATAAAGACCCTTGTGTGTTTGCATCAGAGCTGGCTCTTTGTTGGTCTCTCAGATTCTGAAATTTGGGTTTAACACCAGCAAAAGTAGGATCTTATTAAGGCTTTCTTTGGCTTTGTCCTTGGACATCCCATTAAAATTTTGCGTAGCCTGCCAGTCTACCGCTTGCCCCAAACAGTATCAAAACTCAGGTTACCTGTGTGATGTTATCATTCTCTGACTGTCTGCAATTGTTTTTAGTAACATCCTTAGACATGGATTTTTCTGTGCTCTGCTCCAAGTAAAAGCCCTCTCAAGAAGCAGAACTCTGCTAGTCCTCTCAGCTTGGCCTGCCTTTGTCTGAACCCTGGAGCTGCAGGTTAAGGGTAGAAGCAGCCTCAGGCTGAAATACCACAGACTCCCATTGTTTTTACCAAGATTCAGTAGATATTCTTGAAAAAATGCTTCTCAATTTGTTTTGTGCTTTTAGTCAATTTCCAACACCTTTAAATGGATACTTTTGATAATTTTTCCCAGTTTTATAGGTGCTTTTTGGGGAAAAGATTTGTCAAGCTCTTTATGCAGGCATTCCACATGTTGAATATATGTTATGAATATCCATGCAAATTCCAAATAATCATGGTAAGGAGAGACAGTCTTCACATTATTCTGACTTCAGGAGAAATTACTCTAGTGTTACACCATTAAGTATGATGTTGGTTGCTGGGTTGAGAAAAAATTTATGTTGTATCAGACATATTTTTCTATTCTTATTTTACTAATAATTTTTCCATTCAATCAAGAAACATTTATTTTACTTTGATATGTGTCACGCAATCGTGTTATGGAAGGTAAAAATACTTTCTCTGAATTCAAGTAAGTCAGTATAGTGGGAAGCAAAACAAGTAAACAGCTACAATACAGTGTTGTAAGTACTTTGGTAAAACTACCAGGAGTGCCAAAAAAATGTATACACTTTTTTTTTTCTTTTTGAGTTGGAGTCTCACTCTGTCGCCCAGACTGGAGTGCAGTGGCCGCTCCCGGCCACCACAGCCTCGACCTGCTGGGCACTGGCGATCCTTCCGCCTCAGCCTTCCAAGTAGCCGGAATTACAGGCATGAGCTACTACGCCCAGCTGATTTTTTGATTTATTGTAGAGATGAGGTCTCGCTGCCCAGGAGGGTCTCGAACCCACGGGCTCAGGCAATCTACTCACCTCAGCCTCCCAAAGGCGCGGGATTACATGCTGAGCCACCGAGCCCGGCTATGGATACACATTTTAAGTGATGTTATCTATGTATTACTTTTCGAAGTTGAATTGAATTATGGTAGCAATGTGGCATTAATCAAATGAATATTAGCATCACCAGACCACAGGCGAGACAGGCAAAGAAAATGGCAGAAGTACGTACAGTTTTTTCCTCTCTTAAAATGTGTATATATATTTTTGGCACCCTCTATATAGGGAAGACATTTAAGTAGAACTAAAGATAGAAAAATGGGGCCCAGGTAAATCCCTAAGGAAGCCTGGGCTGACAAATTATCTGGACTTTGAAAGGCAAGGTTAAATAGAAGACGAAAAACATTAACTGTGGGAGTGAGAAGGTACACGCAAGAAGAGGGAACAATTCACATAAAGCAAGAATATACTGAGTTTGGGAAATGCGAGGACATTATAAGGCTGAAACAAAAAAGTGGCGTTTGGAGACCAGATCACAAATTGATATTAAGGTGATGGGAAACTACAAAGGAATTTCAAACAGGAAGTGTTCACATCCTATTCATAGCTCAAAAAAGTAACAGTAGAAAGCCGGGCTCGGTGGCTCAGCCTGTAATCCCGCGCCTTTGGGAGGCTAAGGTGAGTGGACTGCCTGAGCCCGTGGGTTCAAGACCTGGGCAGCGAGACCTCATCTCTACAATAAATAAATAAAAAAATCACCTGGGCAGCGAGACCTCATCTCTACAATAAATAAAAAAAAAAATCAGCAGGGCGTGGTAGCGCATGCCTGTAATTCAGGCTGCTTGGAAGGCTGAGGTGGAAGGATCGCCGGAGCCCAGCAGGTCGAGGCTGCGGTGGCCGGGAGCAGCCACTGCACTCCAGTCTGGGTGACAGAGTGAGACTCCAACTCAAAAAAAAAAAAAAAAAATCGCTCATATCAAAAACCGGAAAAATCTCAATTGAGAAAAGATCATCAAAAGACACCAACAGCGAGCCGGGCTCTGTGGCTCAGCCTGTAATCCCACGCCTTTGGGAGGCAGAGGTGAGTGGATTGCCTGAGCCCGCGGGTTCGAGACCCGCCTGGGCAGCGAGACCTCATCTCTACAATAAAAAAAAAAAAAATCAGCCGGGTGTGGTAGCGCATACCTGTAATTCTGGCTACTTGGAAGGCTGAGGCGGAAGGATCGCCGGAGCCCAGCAGGTCGAGGCTGCGGTGGCCGGGAGCAGCCACTGCACTCCAGTCTGGGTGACAGAGTGAGACTCCAACTCAAAAAAAAAAAAAAAAAAAGTAACAGCAGAGGTAAGAGCAGAGGTGGAGCATGCCAAGATTAGAAACAGGGAGAAGTCACAGTAGCAGTGGGAATAGGGAAGAGGTGAGGGAGTTCATATATATTCAAGGAATATAATTAATGGTACTCACTAGACGTTTGGAAAGAGGAAAATAAATAAAGAGCAAGACCTAATCATTCCTTGGTTTCTGGTGTGCCATTTAACAGGGTAAATGACAGAAAACACCACAGCAGGAGTAAGGAAGGAAGTGGGAGGAGGAAGGCAAGACCCATGGCAGAAATGTTTGCAAACTTAAAAACAGCAAATGTGGCCAGGCTTGGTGGCTCAGCCTGTAATCCCAGCACTTTGGGAGGCTGAGGTGAGTGGATTGCCTGAGCCGGCAGATACAAGACCAGCCCAGGAAACTTGGTGAGACCTCCTCTCTACAAAAAATAAAAAATTAGCCGGGCGTGGTAGCATGTGCCTGTAGTTTCGGCTATTTGGAAGGCTGAGGTAGAAGGATCGCAGGAGCCCAGCAGGTCAACGCTGGGGTGGCTGTGAATGTGCCACTGCACTCCAGCTTGGGCGACAGAGCAGGACTCTGACTCACGGGGGAAAAAAAAGGCAAATTCTAGCTAGTTTAAGATTTTAAAGAATTTTCATTAAAATGTTAAGTTCATGTTCTGCTTATGTGTGTTTTCATGTGTGTGTACACATACAGAAAGAGTGTGTACCCAGGAGCAAGAAGATAAAGCAAAAAGGGGAAAATGTTAATAATGGCTAAATCTCTACACGTAAAAGGTATAGACTGTTCTTTATATTATTTTGTTTTACAACCTTTTGTAAGTTTGCAATTATTTCTAAATAAAACATTTTTAAAATGTTATGCTCAGCATATGTGTGATTTTATATGTGAGAAAATGTAAACAAGTTAGTAAGTGGTTGAGTGTATATGGTAGTTAACTTCATTTACTGTTTTGAAAATGCTTATTTTCTTTTTTTAATGTTAATTTTTAAAAAATATTTTTAAAATTGACAAGTAACAATTTATATGTTTACGGTATACAACATGATGTTTTGAAATCTGTATACACTGTAGAATGGCTAAATCAAGCTAATTATTGTATGTATCACCTTACATTTTTATCACTTTTTGTGTGTAAGAACACTCAAAATCTACTTTCTTAGCAATTTTGAAGTATATAACACATTGTTATTAACCATAGTTACCACATTTTACAATGGACCTCTTGAACTCATTCCTTCTAACTGAAATTTTGTATCCTTTGACCAAAATCTCCCCAATACCTTCTACCCCAGTCCCTGGTAATCACCATTCTATTTTCTATATGTAATGCTCATTTAAAAGAGAGTATGTCTACTAGAGGCAGACAGCGTTAAAATAAAACCCAAGCTCGTGCCATGAAAAATCTGGTCCCTCCCTACATCAACTCACTCATCCCATCTTAAACTGTTCCTCCCCTCACTCACTATGTTTGAGCCACACTAACCTGCTTTGGTGCACATTTCTTGCCTTAGAGCATCTCCCCTGATGCTCCCTCTGCTTAGGACACTCTTCCTGTTCTTTGGTTATCAGCTTAATTGTCACTTCCCAGAAAGGCCTTCTCTGACCACCCTATCCTTATGAGATCCCACTGCTCCACCTTTTTGTTACTTTCTGGTATAGAAATCTGTTTTTCCTCGTCCACATTAGACTTTAAAATTCAATGAAAGCAAAGACCTTGCTGTTTTGTTCATTAAGTACACCAAGGGTAAAGCACAATGCTCTCCATAAATAAACACATTTTGCATGAATTGAATGTTGACTTGAAGGCCAGCTAAAGAATTCAGGAGCTCTGATTTACAAGTCCTTATATATTTTCTAACCACATTTGAGAAGACTGAAAAATATAAACAAATATACAAATGTCTTACCTCCTGCAATGACAAAATGGCTTAGGGCATTTTTATTTCGATACACATTTAGACCAGTGTTCACGGTGCTGGGAAGAAGGAAGGAGAAGGAAAACACAAGATTCAGAGTATATCCCATTTACCTTCTGGGGTGCTATTTTCACTGAAGTGACAGATTTAGAAGAGCCTACAATATCGATCCTTGGTCCTAGCCAAGGCCCTTTCAATGTTCCTCCACCGTGGAGGTAAAACTACAACTGGACCAGTCTTTTACATAGACTAAAGTTCTGAGAAAAGGCAATATGAGTCACTGCCACAAGGGCATTCAGTTATAATCCTACTTGTTCAAAAGATATACTCCTATAAGAATATAAAAAGTTCAACATCTCACAATTCAGAGAGAACTTACTTGAATATAGTCACAAACACAGCAGTTCTCCAACTCCAGCGCCAGCCATACCGAATGAAGCCTCGCGTGGCAGCACGATGTGCAGATTGCTAAAGTTAATACAAAAGCTGTGAGGATCCAAGACACTTTGATGCTTTTCTTATTCTAGAACTATGGTGGAAGAATTTTAGCTATGGATTAGTCAGGTAGACCTAAACAGATAGAAACAATAGAAAATCTCTAGAAATATCATTCTTTAAGTATTGAGGCTTAAGCAAAAACCCTATGTGTATCCTACACTATCAGGAGATAGAAAAGGAACTAAGAATTGCCAGTATCAACCAAGTAATTCATCAATCCATCAAAGTATCTACTAGAATTTATGTATCAATTATGATTAAAAAAATTTAAAACCAGTATAGGTCATGCTTTTTATATTCAAGAAATCTTAGGGAAAAGAAAAATATAAACAACTGAGTAAATGCTAAATTAAAAGACAAAGATTTGCCAGGTACAGTGGCTCATGCCTGTAATCCCAGCACTTCTGTAACCCCAGCACATTGAGAGGCAAAAGCAAGATGATTGCCTGAGTCCAGGGGTTCAAGACCAGCATGGGAGACTTGGCAAGACCTCGTCTTTACAATAAATCAAAAAATTAGCCAGGTGTGGTGACACACGCCTGTGATCCAGCTACCTGGAAGGCTGAGGCGGAAGGATAATCTGAGTCCAGCAGGTCGAGGCAGCAGTGGCTGTGAGCGTGCCACTGCAATCCAGCCTGGGTGACAGAGTGAGACTCCAACTCAAAAAAAAAAGGCAAAAATTAAAGTAATACCAATGTGCAGGAAAGAACAGAAGAAGAAAAAAGAATTAATACTTACTGACCACACTCTACGTGGCCGTGGCCATTGTTTGGTTAAGTATTGGCCAGGGCATATTTTCCTAAGCTTTGGCCTCCCCTACCTTGGGGAGGTGAATCTCCTCTCTCTTTCTCTCTCTAATTTACCTTCTAAATAAACAATATTTTCCAATTTTACAAAAAGTGTGTTAAGACATCACCTCATTTAATCTTCACAACATTCTCTTTGGGAAAGTGTTTCAGTTTTAACTAAAGCTTAGGAGGAAGTTTATAACCAAAATCACCCAACTGGTAAGAAATAAAGTCAGAATTAGAAGATATGTTGTCTGTTTCCATAGCTATTTTCACTAGACCACCATGGAACAAGTTTGGTATAATAACATGGAGTAAAGTCTAAATTTTAAAGAATCAGAACATTCCTGAGCCGATCCTTAACAACCATATGATCTTGGGCAAGTCAAAACTTCTTTGAGAGGTATCAGTATGAACCCTTGGTTTTTAATAAAAAGGTAAATAGGGTCAGGCGTGGTGGCTCATGCCTGTAATCCCACACTTTGGGAGACTGAGGCAAAAGGATCATTTGAGTCCAAGAGTTCAAGACCTGCCTAGACAACACAGTGAGAACTCATCTCTACAAAAAATAAATAAAATAATAAAAAGGTAGATAGACATTGATGTAGATGTGTATATGAATATGTATATAAATCTCTCTCTCTTTCTCTCACACACACCTACACACACAAATGCACCTTTCCTAACTCTGTCTGCCTAGAACCTAAAAACAATAATACTCTGATAGCAATGAGCATGCCTAGTACCAGATGTTGGTTTCTAAATACCATTCTCCACTAAAGGAAATTCAAACACCTTGTAGAAACGGCTAATTCCAGAGCTGGTGCTGGAAAAAGAAAAGATGAGCCAGGAATATTTCTCTGTGTCAAAAAGTAAAGGCATGCCTAAAGGATGATGGGAACACACTGAGAGGACACAGAAGCTAATTCTAAAAAGTTCCAACAATCTGAATCTAGGACCATTAGAATATCAAAAGAAATAATGACAGTACAGGTTGAGTATCCCTTATCTGAAATGCTTGGTACCAGAAGTGTTTTGGATTTTAGGATTTTCTCAGATTTTGGAATATTTGATTATACTTGTTGAGCATCTCAAATCCAAAACTCTAAAATCTAAAATACTCCAATGAGCATTTCTTTGAGTGTCATGTCAGTGTTCAAAAAGTTTTGAATTCTGGAGCATTTCAGATTTTAGATTTTGGATTTGGAAAGTTCAACTAGTAATGAATTATACATCGACAGAATAGGCATGTCCAACCAATAGCCTGTGGGCTACATGTGGCCCAGGATAGGTGGTAATACGGCTTCACAGAATCTTTTAACATCGTGTGTTTTTTAGCATTTATTTTCTTTGTGATCTCATGCATAGTTACATTTTTGTTGTTGTTGTTATTTTGAGTTGGAGTCTCACTCTGATGCCCAGGTTAGAGTGCAGTGGCACGCTCACAGTCACTGTAGCCTCGACCTGCTGGGTTCAGGCCATCCTTCCACCTCAATCTTCTAAGTAACTGAACTACAAGCACACGCTACCATGCCCAGCTAATTTTATGATTTATTGTACAGACGCGGTCTCACCAAGTTGCCTAGGCTGGTCTCGAACCTCTAGGCTCAGGCAGTACTCTAGCCTCAGTGTCCCAAAGTGCTGGGATTACAGACGTAGCCACTGTGCTTGGCCAGTTCCATTTTTGAAGTTCACAATCACACCGTATCCGTGACATCACTTTTTGACAGCACATACATTTGAGAGCTGCTGTTTTCAATTATGAAGCACACAAAGAGCAAAATTTGAACATTTCTGATGAACACCTTGAGAATTCACTAAGAATTGTGACCACTTCCATCGAATCAGACATTGATAGATTAGTTTTACAAAAACAAGGTCAAACTTCCCACTAGTTTTATATTGTTCTTTTTCTAAACTTTATAATAAGAAATATTTTTAAAGTGTCTTATTACATATATACATGATATAATATAATTTATGTGCAGCCCAAGATAATTCCTCTTTACTCAATGTAGCTGAGGGAAGCCAAAAGGTTACTTGATGCAGCCCAGGAAAGCCAACAGGTTGGACACCCTGCTATAGAATAAGAATCCATGAGTTCATGCTCATATAAATAAATAATAGGGAAAGGAAAACACTTCCTTAGAGCAGTATACTATCCAATAAATATAGAAAGAATGACAGACTTTAGAAAATGGTCACTTGGCAACTATCACAATAACTGTTTGTAGCAAGACTCATCATTAAATGCTAAAACCACAGGATAAACCTTTAACAAAAAGTAGTTTATCTACATAGTTTCAAAGGATCTATAAGTACTCATAAAATACTTATTAATTACAAAGAAAAAAACAGTAGTTTTACAGTGTATAAACTTGGCAGAGGCCATCTTAACCAAGTGACTAAAATAAGCATCACCAGCAAAAAAGGAACAAACAGCTATCATGTGCTTCTAATATACTGTACTAAGAACGATACAATATCAATTCTAGGGTTTTCCTCTCAAAAAACATAGCCTGAATCTAATCACGAGAAACAGTCAAACAAACCCAAATGAGGGCTATTCTAGAAAATAAACAGTTCATAATTAAGATCATTAAAGACAAAAAGAGACAGAGAAACTCTTCTAGACTAAAAAAGCTTGACAAGCTGGGCTCGGTGGCTCACCTGTAATCCCGCGCCTTTGGGAGGCTGAGGTGAGTGGATTGCCTGAGCCCACGGGTTCGAGACCTGCCTGGGCAGGCGAGACCTCATCTCTACAATAAATCAAAAATTAGCCGGGCGTGGTAGCGTGTGCCTGTAATTCTGGCTACTCGGAAGGCTGAGGCGGAAGGATCGCTGGAGCCCAGCAGGTCGAGGCTGCAGTGGTTGGGAGCGCCACTGCACTCCAGTCTTGGCGACAGAGTGAGACTCCAACTCAAAAAAAAAAAAGCTTGACAGACAAGTTTAATATATATACCAATACCAGATTCTGGACCAGAAAAAAATTTTATTCATCTTTATTGTTTTAATTGGAGTCTCACTGTCACCCAGCCGGGAGTACAGTGACATGATCATGGCACACCACAGCCTTGACATCCTGAGCTCAGGCAATCCCTTTGCCTCAGCCTCCCCAGAAACTGGGACTACAAGCGTGTATCACCATGCCTGGCTAAATTTTTTATTTTTTGTAGAGATGAGGTCTCGCTATGTTGCCTAGACTGATCTCTAACTACTGGGCTCAAGCAATCCTCCTGCCTCAGTCTCCTAAAGTGCTGGAATTAAAGGTGTGAGCCATTGCACTTGGCCTTATTTTTTATTTATTTTAATATAAATAGTGGGACAATAAGCAAAATATACTGCAGATAATAGTACTATATCAGTGTTACTTTTCTGAGCTTGATAATTATAATTGTAGTTATATAAGAGAATGCCCCTGTTCTAAGGAATTACACACTGAAGTATTCATCATGTCTATAACTTACTCTCAAGTAGTTTGGGAAAAAAATAGTACATATTATACAGAGAGAGAATGATAAAGCAAACATGGTAAAATGTTAACAGTGGAGAATCTAAATAAAAGTTATATAAAAAGTCCTTATATTATTTTTATAACTTTTAAGTTTGACATATTTCAAAATAAAAACTTTTATAAAAACTCTGAGTGTTAATATTCTGACCTACACAAAAGAACTGATGTACAGATCTAACGATAACAAATGAGTGAGCACACTACAACACTATAAAGCTATAAATGTTAATTGTTTTAGTGTGAGCCAGCATACTCATATAGGCTTTGTAAATGAGGTAAACGTTATAGCTTAGCTTTGAGATTTAGCAGGGGATTAGAAATATATTTCAGAAAGAAGAGCCATACTGGTGATCCCAAACATGCCTATTCTGAAGATAAGAAAGTGGTCTGACAAGTCACAAGCACCTTAGCATTAGTACTTCCACTGTTACTAAGTATAGACTTTATTTCTCTACTCCAACATCCTAAAACTCCTTCCTTCCCATGACCTAACTGAATGACAAAGTGAATTGTTAAGTCAGTGTGTTCCCCAATACCTTTAGGCCATCAGTACATACCACGGCATCAAACCGATTATAATAAACTTCTGCTTGGCTCTGCTCAATGTAGCGCTGTTTAGCATGAATAAAAGCTGGTATTCCCCCATAAGCCCAGCCAATGATGCCTGCGGAAGCTGCTGCTTTCCAGATATCCTGAAGTTCCTTTGAAGTTCTATGCCGTTCACTAAAACAGCAAAAAGACAATGCTTGTGATTAGTCTATAGATATTGCTTCCCAAAAGACTCTATGATCAAAATTACTCCAACTGCTAAGATCACATTTTTTTATTACGGGTAGAATCCTGTTATGAACTAATTAGTACAGTTACATTAGAAGTAACACAAATCCAAAGAAAACTAAGTTATACTGTTAGAAATAGAGTTGAGAAGCTGGGTGCAGGGGCTCATGCCTGTAATCCCAGCTCTTTGGGCGGCAGAGGAGAGAGGAACACCTGAGCCCAGGGTTTCAAGACCAGCCTGGCAACATGGTGAGACCTCATCTCTACAGTAAATCATAAAATTAGTCGGGCATGGTGGCGTACACCTGTAGTTCTACTACCTGGAAGGCTGAGATGGAAGGATTGCTAGAGCCCAGCAGGTTGGGGCTGTGGTGGCCATCAGCATGCCACTGCACTCCAGTCTGGGTAACAGAGTGAGACTCCAACTCAAAAAAAAATAGAGTTGTGCACACTCTTGGCACAAGGGGAGCTTCTGGGATACTGTTAACAGCCTTTTCCTGAGTGTTGGTTACACAGCTATGTTCCGTTTGTGAAAATTTCATTGGTCAGTATAATTTTGGACATTTTCCTAAATGCACATCCTACTCAAATAAATAAAAAATTTAAGGTGCTTTTTATTTGATGACTGTTACACCTATACATTATCCCTGGAAATAGAAAGAATTTGAGTTGAACGTATAGATCAATATTTCCCTCTTTGAATTTTAACCTAACTTTTAAAAAACAACACAAACTCATGCGATTTTAGGGCAATGCATGAAAGAATGAAAATATGAATGTTAAAAAAAATCAAAACCCTATCTTACTAAATATTTAAATTTTTATGACATATTCAGATAAGGCTGTACTATAGAAAGCTTTGGGTTGGGCACAGTGGCACATGTCTGTAGTTCCAGCTACTCAGAAGGCTGAGGCGCTACTTGAGCCCAGGAGTTCAAGTTCAGCCTAGGCAATATAGTAAAACTTTGTCTCTAAAAATAAATAAATAAATAAATACTCTTTAAAGGCATTGGGAAAACTCACTATGCAGTGGTCAGCACATGACAATCTAAAAACAAAAACAAGGAAAAACTATTTAATTCAATGTATTACTCTCAAATGCTAGAACTGCTAATAGAGTTTCCAAGATGACCTTTTGAAAGTGCTCTAACAAATAGCTGTCCTATAAGTATTAACTTACTATAGATAATGGCCCTAAGTAAGTACACTGCTAAATGTTATATCAAACACATTCTTAATTTCCTTTCTTCAAAGACTCTTTAAGTGTATCTAATTCTAGTTGTCAGTGACCACATTATGAAATCAGAATGAATCTTTACAGTTCCTGCATCTATAAGAGAAACTTAAATTTCTTTTAATTTGAACTTTATATTTTATATTTTATTGTAAGATCAAAACAATATCTGCATAAAAACTTATCTATGGTAGAATTCAGAAAAGATAAAATGTAACAGAGCTCAAGATGTAACAAGTCAGATGTTTCTTCACTTCTTTGCTGTCCTCTGCATAATTCAGTGATACAGATGTATTTACCTACTCATAAGGAAACAGAGGCCCTAAGAAGTCATATCGTTGGTCCAAATAGTCAATGAATACTGGAGAATAAAATATTAGGGCACAGCGGCGGGATGGCCTAGACTATAAGCAACAATGGGGTTATGGTCCTGCTTCTGCCACTCACAGTTAACTGACCTACAGCTATACCACAAGCCTTGGACCTTGGTTTCCTCATCCACAACCTGGAGGGAAGCATGAAAATTACACAATCTTCCAACTTTCTTTCAGCTCCAACATTCTAGCTTACAAAATTAATCAAAATGGCCAGGTGTGGTGGCTCAAGTCTATAATCCCAGCACTTTGGGAGGCCAAGGTGAAGGGACTGCCTGAGCCTATGGATTTGAGAACAGCCTGGGCAACTTGGTGAGACCTCATCTCTACAATAAATCCATTAAAAAAAAATTAGCTGGGTGTGGTAGCGTGCACCTGTAGTTCCGGCTACTTTGAAGGCTGAGAGAACCAGAAGGATCATCAGAGCCCAGCAGGTCAAAGCTGAGGTGGCTGTGAGCGTGCCACTGTGCTCCAAAAAAAAAAAAAAATTAATCAAAATAGCCCTCTTCTGTTATATACTGCTGAGGTTCTTTCATAAGTATCTCAAATATTGGAAGCACTATTAGGAAAAGCTGTCTTGTTAACTTTAAAGATTATGAAACCTAAATGGTGTAATGAAATACAAGGTTGCCAGCCCCCTTGCTCCAACTATAGGAGCAACATAATAATGCCTCAATTTTTAATTTAACCACTTATTTGTTTATTTTACTGAGTTGGAGTCTCACTCTGTCAACCCAGGCTGGAGTGCAGTAACAACACAATCACGGCTACCGCAGCATCAGCTCAAGTCATCCTTCAGTCTCAGCCTCCCGAGTGGCTAGTACTATAGGCATGCACCACCATGTCCAGATAATTGTTTTACTTTTTTATTGACCTTGTTGCACAGGCTGGTCTTCAACTCCTGGGCTCCAGCAATCCTCTCCCCTTGGCCTCCCAAAGTGTTGGAATTATAGGCATGAGCCACCACACCCATCCTAATTTAACCACTTGATAATACAGTGTAGTATGATAAATTACTTCATGAAAGGGCATACTTTTTTTAAACCATTAATTGGTGAGTAAATGAAGAAATAGAGGATTTAAACATCGAGTTTTTATTAGATAAAACAAATTCAATTTAAAGGGTTATCCTTTATTCTGAAATAATTTCTTTCATAAAACGATGAGAAAATAGTTGCCACTATTTTTAATTATTTAGCAAAATTAAAAATGGATAACTCTCTCTGTCCTTCCCCCAACTCCTGGAGTTGGGGGAATGACGCTAGTAGTCATGAAATCAAAAGTTTGAGATCAACTGAAATATTAAAAAGAACACTAAAGTAGATTTTTGCAGACATAGTTTCCAGGCCAATTCGGACACTAGCTTGACCCAACATTTCTAGTTTGTAAAACAATCAGGGGATTGATTACACTAAGGCTATATTCACTAAGTACTGTATCTCTAAGAGCTTTGATTTCCAATAAGCCTGACCCTACTATTTTAAAACTCGCCGATCAGCCGGGCACGGTGGCTCACGCCTGCAATCCCAGCACTTTGGGAGATGAAAGCGAGAGAAATGCCTGAGTCCTGAGGTTCGAGACCAGCCTGGGCAACCTGATGCGACCTCTCTCTGTAACAAATCAAAAACTAGCCGGGCATGGTGGCGTGTACCTGTGGTTCCGGCTACTTGGAAGGCTGAGGTGGAAGCATGGCCTGAGCTCAGCAGGTCGAGGCTGCGGTAGCCGTGAGCGTGCCACTGCACTCCAGCCTGGGCGTCAGTGAGACTCGACGCACACAAAAAAAACTCGCCTCTCAACCAACAGCATCACCACATGGCAATGTCAGGATACACGCTTGGGGTACCAAATGTCAGCTCAAATCTCATTTTAAAAAGAACCACAATTCCCCCTAGGGTCCTTCGCCCAAGGCTGACCCAAGCTGCAGGACACCTCTTTTGCGGCCCCCCACCTCCACGTCCAGACCCTAAGCACTTTTACTCTTTGACAAACAGCTCCCGGAGGCGATCCCATCCGGATTCCGGGTAATGGGGTTCTGGGACGTAGAAAGGAAGCTTCTGATCCTCCGCAAGGGTCTCCGAACCGGCAGCCTCAGCTTCGGCAGCAAAGACTCGGGGGAAAGGACCCAGTGCCCTGCAGAGAAAGCCCCGCGGCACTGGTGGTGGCACCTCCATGACCCTCTCCGACCTGCGGACACGCTGGAGCGCTTAGGACTCCAAGGCCGCCCAGAGGGGCCGTGGGCGAGGCCGCACGAGTGAATACCCGTGCACGAAGTTCAAGCTAACCAACCGTCGGCGAGATCAACATGCCCGGCTCCTGTCCAGAGTCTCACTCTGGAGTTCTCGGAAACACGAGACAGGAAGTCTCGCCCCCACCAGGGCAAAGGCCAAGGGGCGGGGTGGTGGCAGAACCCGAGCCGAAGCACTTCCGCTTGTAGAGCGAGGACCGGCCGCAGCCGCGCAGGACCCGCCCCCGGAAGTGAGTTGCAGCTAGAAGTTCAGCTCAGGGCCGTCCGGAGACCCCTTGGTTCAGTCTCTCCGCGTCTCGGGGGACCACGCCCACGGGTTGTAGGTGTGGTTACCCTCGGCTTCAGATGGTTGTAGACTGAAGCGAATGCCAGAAACCCCACATAAATGAAGAAGAAAGCGCGGCATTACAGGCAAGAGTAGGGAAAGGAGGTTTGGATTAAAAACAAGGCACGGCTGGAGCAGCTCTCGGGCTGGGCGGGGTCCACGCGGACCGTCGGGTCTGGTTTCCAGAAAAGACCGAGGCGCCGGCATGGGTGCACCAAACTTTCGGAAACCCGTTTTGAAGAATCAGGTTTTGGCGTTGTCACAGGTGGATTTCACTTCCCATAGTTCAGGAGAGTTTCTGTCCAGTGTTTGATAGTCCCGCAATAATTTCCCGTCATTACAGCTGCTGCTAACGTATAGTCCCCAGGTATAGTTTTTCGTCAAAATGTACGCATTTGAAATATTATGAGGCCGGGCGCGGTAACTCAGGACTGTAGTCCCAGCACTTTGGAAGGCGGAGGGGAGAGGATTGTCTGAGTTCAGGGGTTCGAGACCAGCCTGGGCAACTCGTTGAGACCTTGTCTCTACGATAAATCAAAGGCGTGGTGGCACGCACCTGTGGTTCCAGCTGCTTGGGAGGCTGAGGCGGAAGGATCGCCTGAGCCCAGCAGGTCGAGGCTGCGGTGGCCGTCAGCGTGCCACTGCACTCCGGATGACAGAGTGAGGCTCCCACTCAAAAATAAAAAAAAATCTGAAACTGGTTTGTGCAGTCTCATTTAATCCTTATTAGTCCCCAGACACACTCCCTTATTCTCTTTGACAGTCCCTTCGCCTTCTTTATTACTTTCTAGTTGTTATTAAAATTGCCGCACTCTAGCAGAATATAGTAAATAGACTTCTGGAACTTGATAGCTATAAATTCTACAGGCAAGTCCTAGAGAAGTGACTGATTGGATGAGTTAGTGACAGTGCCATGATTTCTCTGGTGTCTGGGAGCCCAGATTAGATTCCACCCCCATGGTTACACTCATCTCGCCATAATTTCCTATTTGTTGATCTGTCTCAGTTGACCGTCCCTGATGTCAGAGACCATATATATTCATCTCTGTATTGCTAGAACCTAGCACAATGTCCGGCACATAGTAGGTGTTCAGGAAATACTTGTTGACTGAAGAATTCAGTCTCCTGACTTCCAGCTCTAGGTTGCCACTTATATATTAGAAGTGCACACCAAGATAAGTTCCTGAGACCTGAAAGCCCAAGAAAGTGACTGCACAGCCTGTCTAGCCTACATGTATAAAAGGCTAAATGCTGAAGATGACCCCAGAGTCATTCTGTGCTGAGGGAGGCCTTGGAATAGGGGACGGATTAAATGACTGTTGGGACAATACTGATGAAATCATCTATATACAACTCCAATGCCCAGGATTTACTAGTGTGAATACAAATTAGGTCATATTAACAGGTAAATTTCACTAACTCCATAGCTGCTTTCTCCTTTGAGTAACTGAAGACTTATTTGTAAGTTTCTCTGCCACCTAATACCTCAAAAAGTCCCCAGTCCCTTGACTATTGCTTACACTGTGTATATTTTTCCATCTCAGATCTCTCAGATGGTCTGTCACTCTCCCACATTTCCTACCTCCCCAATCTCTCAGGGCTACTTTCTTTTACCACTAGGGAAGTACTCACCCTCTAAAATCTGCTCTTTTGAAGGGTGTCAGAGTAACACTGTCTAGGCCAAAAGATGTTGGGTTTAGTCGGACCACTCTGTTTCACATACAGCTCTCTCATCCCCAAGATGTGTATTTGCTAGAAGATTACTGCATCAGGGGAAGATTTCAGTATAATCACCACACTATGCCTGGAATCATCATTCTTCCACCCTCAGCCATTGTTGCTGGGTTCTGTTCACAGAAGCCAGTAGCTTCTTCCTTCATAGTGAATTTCCTCCTAGAGAGCAGCAGTATCCCTTTTTCTGCCAGGCTCACCAAATAATGCCCTTGCTACAAATATTACGTTTCGTTATATATGGCATAAACCATTTCCACAGGTAGCATGAATTTTGAAAATTCCAAAGATCATTTCATTTACTAATCCTTCAAAGTGTAAGTCAATTTTTACCTCCACAAAGCTTCCCTTCTGCCCCAGTTGGAAATTTCTTCTTCCTCTAAACTCCAAATCGACATTGTCTTCATGAATAATTGGCATTCACATTGCCTTAATCACCTTCCACCTATGATGCCTCTCATACTGTTTATCATCTTAACATCAGAGCCCCTCAAGGTTAGGAAGCCTCTTGTAAACTTCCTATCTCTTACCGTTTGTGCACAGTAGATGCTCAAGAAGTATTTGATAAATATTAAGTGAGTGAATTATAATTACAACCTCTTGTCCTATCCACAACACATAACACCTTAACTCTGGATGCAGTAAGATTAACCTGAGAATGCATTTTTAGATGCATGTAAAGACATTGTTTTTAGTCAGTCTAGAAGTGAAGTGTAGCATACTCTTTGGACTGACTCAAATGAACCCATTAACTTTTCTTCTCTTGGAAATTTCAGACGGGCTCTAGAGCAGCAGCATAGCAGCACTCCAGAAAATTCTTGCTGAGATTCCCAGAATTGCCTTTATTTCTACCCTTCTAACCACTATAAAACTTGTTCAGACTCCATGAGATGCCCTCATATCCTTCTAAGAAGTTCTTTTGTTTAAACTAGCTAGAGGCAGTTTCTGTCCTTGACAAGTAAAAGAATCTGACCTGATATAACAGAATAAGATGTGTCACTGACATCACATAGATGACACTCCCAAAACAAAGGAAAAGCATTTTTGTGCTAAGTATCCCACTTCATTCAAATAATTTTATTTTTCTTTGAAGAAAAGTGTGGCTTATAGCTCTCTGAAGGGTAAATTTGGAACTGAACTAGTAATAATGACAACAAAAACTTTGAAAAGTTGTTGGGAAACAAATTATTTTCAAAAATAGACATTTTACATACTGTTACACACCATCCTCATACCATCTAAACTGAGGTAAACAGATAAGTATAAAATGTGACTAATATTTGCTGTATTTAAAGACAAAGATGCCCTTATTGACTCTTCAAAGGACAGGTGAGGATTTGCATTGATCCAATTTTTACAGTCTCATCCAATCCCCCCTTGGAGTCAATGGCAATCTATAAAAAGAATCTAGTTAAGCCAGCTGTCTCTAATCATCCATCCATCCATCCATCCATCCATCCATCCATCCATCCATCCATCAACAGTTCTTTAGTATTTACTTTGTGTGAGGCACTGTGCTGGATAATGGAGATGTCAGGATGAGTAAAACTTGATTTTCATCCATCAGTAAATACAGAACAGCAGGAGAAACAATCAAGTAACCACAGTTAAGTGCAATGTGATGTCACATAATACAGGCATAAGCAAAGTATTATGGTAGCCCCTAGCTGCCTAAAGGTATGAAGGAAAAGATTCAGAGAAGGTGATGTTTGGGCTGCAACTTGAAGCTAAATGGGAAACCTTCCCAAGGAAATGAAGCTTCAGTTCCTGATCCAAAGGACAGAAGATTCTGTTCCTATTTTAATAATTAAAATAGAATGATTATACCTAGTAGGGCCTCGTAGTGACAAGGCAAAACCATAGTATGACTCAGAAATTTGGACTACTGCTAGACTTATAGCACCTAAGGACACAGTCCCTTTGAGTTGTCAACACTTCAAAAAAAAAAAAAAAAATCCAAATTTAAACACGTGCCTTATTCAGTGCAATGATCTTATGAGGGATATTCCACTTTTTTTCTTTTTTTTTTTTTTGAGTTAGAGTCTCACTCTGTTGCCCAGACTGGAGTGCAGTGGCCACTCCCGGCCACCGCAGCCTCGACCTGCTGGGCTCCGGCGATCCTTCCTCCTCAGTTTTCCGAGTAGCCAGAATTACAGGCGCGCGCTACCATGACCGGCTAATTTTTTGATTTATTGTAGAGATGAGGTCTCGCCTGCCCAGGTGGGTCTCGAACCCGCGGGCTCAGGCAATCCACTCACCTCAGCCTCCCAAAGGCGTGGGATTACAGGCTGAGCCACCGAGCCCAGCTCCACTTTTCTAACAAGGTCTTTAGACTTAAAATTTTGTGGAAGGGAATTAAAAAGGCCAAATACAATTCTCACAAACAGAAAAAAAAAATCTGATCTTATACGACTAAATCTCACATTTAATAATTTTAAAACCAGTTAATACCACAGTTCTTAAGAGGCAAAGGAAGAGAGCTAATTTCTCTGTGGAAAGGTTGGGCCTAAGGGTCAAGGATGGTTCTAAGTCATCAGACTACATAGTTTTAACCTAAACATATTTTTAAAACAAATATTTCTATTCTAAAAACAAATTATTTCCTATATAATGGTTAAAGTTGAATGCTCTAAACTACCAAATGAATGGCATGTTCGCATATAAAGACTCCTTGTGGCCCCTGTAAGACAAAGAGAGCGAGGATAACCCCTGCAGTAGCCAATTTAAGAAGGAAAAATATTAAGGGTGTGCAAAGGGTGAGGAAGAGTTGCTGTTCTATGCACAGTTCCTACTTTCTAAATTTATTTAGAGGATTTTGTCTTTTTTTCCTTAGACAATAAAAAGAAGGCACAAAAAGGGAACTTGAAATCCAATTGCAATAATTACTTGTGCAATTGGCTCCTTTCCAAGTGGCATTATAGAAACCTCCTGAGTAACAAAGAGTTTATGCTTCACAAAAGAGAACTCCTACATCACTGCATGGTATAGTTACGACTTCCTTAGGCCTTTCAGAAAATGATCTCCAAGTGTTTTTCACAAACCCCATAGAGTTTCCTACATGAAAATAAAGCAAGAGAGATCAAGCCTAGAATAAATTCAGAATTGCAGCAATGAGTTGTACTAGTTCCAAATAATGAATTTTCTACTCCAAATAATAGGACAAACGGCATCGCCACATGGACACAGTCAATTTCACAGTGACAGACATATACAGGTGGATGATCTGAGGCACAAGCTGTGATTGGTCTTAAGAAAATGAAAGGTAGAATCAGGCTCAAAATCCATATCTCATGATGTCTGATCCTCATCCAGCCAAAGAGTTGAGCTGCTTCATGTCTCTGTATTTTCACTTTGTAGATCTTTCTCAAGAGTGCAGCATGATAAGGAAAATCACATATTTGGCTTGATAAAAGGAATTCAGGGTATAGGTGCCACATGTATGGTAAGCTCCTCACCATGGGGTATCGAGATCTGCCGCCACAGAGAGGACTAGGTCTTATGATGACTACTAGAGTTCAGTTTTCAAAATTTTGGGAATAATTTGATCATAACCTTTCCTTCTCGTTACATTATAGGACAGGAATTTAGAGTATTCAGTCAGGAGGTTCTCCCAGTAACAGGTGATGTCATCCATCTGCAAGTGGTTCATAATAAACTGGCTTCCCCTAGAGACAAGATTAACAAGAATGTTTTGAAGCACAGAATTTAATAATAATAATAACGTACATTTAAGTGCTTACCTTGTGCCACGCACTAATGAGAGTGCTTTATATGAATTAATGCATTTGATCCTTAGAGCCAACCCTATACCAATCACATCCATACACATACATGTAGCAATAGAACTTAACATCTATTTCCTTAAGAACAAACATAAAACAGCCAGTGCTTATAAAAAGCACATGCTTCATTACTTCAAAGATTTCATCTTCTTCTATAAAGCTTGGGTATATGTGATTGTGTGAGTATGTTTCTCCCCCAGGACAGCTTTAGTTCTGAATTAGTTCTACATAATGAGGATGAAATACAGGTATCACCATGGTAACAATATTCAGATAACTTTAGCTAGGGCATAATACATATAAAAAGAGAAAATGAACATAACTTACCTCTCAGCAATTTCTTGAGCGACATCATCATTTGCTTTTACAAATTGCAACAGCTCTCTAAAATGAATAGAATTATTGGACTCTAAAATATACACCAAGCTTATTAGTATTAATACTAAGTCAGAAATACTTAGAATTGAGGTCTATGGTTAATATCTAGATATGTGGATGGTGGGTTATTACTAGGGTCTTCAAAAGAACAAAATAATAACCAAAAAAGCTCACACACAGGATAAAGGCAGTTTACTAGTGGAGCTGGGACATAATTGAGAAAATATAGAAATGTTTCATAATGTTCATAAAAAAAATCAAGAGTGAAAAAAATTCCATCCTGTCTCCAAATTCTCACTCTGGTCCCAGAAGAGGGAAATGAGTTCACATTTCTGGCTGTTCTCTATGCTTCTTCCTAGCTCCTTCCAGTATGAGAGAAAATTTGACTAAGGTTCACTCAGGTCAAGTTTCATGCTGTATCTGGAAATCCCTTTAACGATAATAAGATCAAATATATCTATCTTTAGTCTTTAAGAGATTAAAGCTTTTTCACCTCACACTGTCTGAGTGTTTCATTTGACACCAGTATTAAACTTTTTCAAATTAAATCCCACTATAACCTACTTAGATAATGATGCAATAAGAGTAAAAAAAAAAACTTTCATTGGAAAAAACCATCAGGGGTAAATGCCTGAAATGACTGGACTTAAGAAGCAGATTTCAAGGGTCATTAGAAACTCTGCTTTGGGAGGGCGGGATTGGCAATAGTGGGAAACTGCCAAGGGAGGGGGGCACCCCTCATCAACAAGGGTGCCTGCATAATGAACATGTGTATACCTAACCCTGAATTGTATCCCACATCTTCAAAATAAAAAAGTTTAAACAAAAAAATCTAAAAATACAAAAAAAAAAAAAAAAAAAGAAAGAAAGAAAAGAAACTCTGCGTTAATAGATAGCTGCTTACTGGACGTTGGAGAGATCCGTTTTGACTGGGATATAGTGAACCCATGGCTTCAGCTGTGGATAGAAGAACTCTAGCCACTCGTCACCAACATGGAAAACAAGTGAACCACACAGGAAGAGGTGTTTGAACCGGAAACTTGCAGCTACACCCCGAAAATTAAACAGGTACCTGGGGAAAAAAGCAAAATACATTTGACACTATATGCCTACTGCCACACATATGGCCTTCTTAGCGTATTCTCTTCTTTCCCATAGCTTTCCATTTTCAGCTTTCAAGGACACATTAGTATGTTCCTGTGGGGTTTCTATAAACTCCTTGCTTTTCTAAGGCTGGTTCTACAAGTTGTTCTGGGAATGTCAGGGTGAGGGAAAAAAGGAGACACTTTCCCCAGCCTAGATAGGGTCAGGAGCTGGGTGCTGACTGGAGCAGACATGAGGCTCAGAAGGAAATGACAGCCTATTGTAGATTTGGGACATATTTGAGAAAATACAGAAATGCTCAATACCTCAAAAATCAAGAATGACAAAAATGGTCACAAGATTGTCTAGACCTAATGCCTCTAACTAATCAAAGCCCCCAAAGCCTTGCTTATCCTCAAGTGTACCCCATCTGGTCAAAGGCGTCCCCTGCTTCCTGGACATCACTCCCTTCTCCTGAAGTCTGGAGAGGAGAACAAGGCAATTCTAATCACTTTTCAAGGAAATGCCCCTGAAAAAAAGATATCATAGAAAAGAACATTTCTTCTAGGAATTTTTCATGCACATATCCCTGTCTCCAACCAGAGTTGCTTTTTTTTTTTTTTTTGAGTCAGAGTCTTTGTCGCCTAGGTTGGAGTGCAGTGGCATGCTCATGGGCACGGCAGCCTTGACCTGCTGGGCAAGTATTCCTTCCGTCTCAGCCTTCCAAGTAGCTGGAACTAGAGGTGCACGCCACCACACCTGGCTAATTGTTTTGATTTATTGCAGATAATGAGGTCTCGCCATGTTTCTCAGGTTGATCTCGAACTCCTGAGTTCAGGCAATCCTTTCACCTCAGCCTCCCAAAGTGCTGGGATTACAGCCATTGAGCCACAGCACCCAGCTTCGGAGTTGCTTTTATCAAGTAGCTCCCAGTCTGTATGTCACCAGCATTCCAATCTCTGAGCCCTCCACTTCCCTCCTCCAGACCTGGTTTTACCTGTTCACCTAATTCTTAGTCCTGGCATTAATTCTAACATGTATTAACCTGAGAAATATTTATTCTAACTTCAACTATTGGGTGGGTGGGACATAGAGAAAGATAATCCCATCACTGTGACTTCCAGCATGCAGCTCTCTGAAAGCAGAGACCACATTCCATTCATCTCTCCCCACCGAACTCAGGCCTGCACACAGTAGGCCCTCAAGAAAAGCCTACTAAATGAGTTAATGTGACTTTCATACATCCCCACCAGGCCTTCATATTAAAGTTCTCACCCAAAGTGAAGCTACTTCAAAAGCAATATGGAAACCAAAAGAGTCAGGAGTCTTGGAATTCTTACTTGTATTTGCAGTGATCCACAAGATGGACATCCTCAGCAGCTGGCTTTCCCAAGGTATCCTTTACAAGAAAAAGAAAGTATTAGTAATAGTAGTAATAGCATTTATTGGTAACCGCTGTGCAGCCAGCATTGTTAAACACTTCGTCAACATTACTTCATTTAAGCCCTATAATACACATACTCAGGAGATGTCATTATCCCTATTATATAAATGCAGAAGTCAAAGCTTTGAGAAGTTGAGAGACTTCCTCAGAGTCATGTGGCCCTAAGTAGAAGACCTAGGGCTTTAGCTAGGGTCTGTCTGATTTTAGACATGTAAAACCACGTTGCCCTCCTTTGAACTCTGAGGTCATAGTCTGCAATACGCTTCACTCTGCAAGAACTACACATGCAGAGAAGGTCACACATGCTGGCTGGTAGGCCTGGAGGTGTAGCCCAGACACACACAAGTTTGGTTGGGCATGCAAAGTATTTAAAAAACATATGAGGGGAGAACCCCTCAAAACTGAATTTATTTATAAAAAATTGCGTATTTATTCTTAGATGTTTAAACTTCAGTCACCTTCAAAGCACTCTCTGATGCAATACACCTATGCTTTTTCCACTGTCCAAAACAGTTTTTGAACTTGTCAATTTTGATGCCTTTTAGTGCTTCTATAATTTTTTTTGTTTCATTTCCTTTACACTGGCAAAACGTTTTCCTTTGAGGACGTTTTTCATGCAGGGAAACAAACAACAACAAAAAAAGTCACTGGGAACAAGATCTGGTGAACAGGGAGAGTGGGACACTGGGGTCAAGCCATTTTTAGTCAAAAACTACTGAACATTCAGAAAATAAAATTTCACTGCTGCACATTGTATGTGTAAATCACCCATCATGAAATCAGCAAATGCATTGAAAGAAATCTCCAAAAAACAAATTCACTGAAGCTGAATGCAGTTTCTCACAACAACACTAGCTGGTACGATGCTGATAGGTTCCTAGAACACTTAGCTAGTAGGAGAGGCTTGTACTACAAGGGGTTCGCCCTCCAAAAGGTAATTCCAGTTTTGATGGGGGGGTCTTCCCTTGTATATTCAAACCACTGACACCATCTATGGGTAACAGGATATTTCCTGCAAAAATCTAGATTTCCAAAAAATTATTTGGCAAACTGAGATCCTTTTACCGTATGCAACAATGAACTGGAGTTGTCAGTGCTCTCCCTTGCTGTCTCCTTTACATCACCTGTCCCGGGGGGCATCGGAGTTTGAGACCCCCATGTACATTCTATCCACTTTAGCAGATGGTAAACCCTCTGATGAGGGGAACAAGTCTTGTTTGCTTTTGCAGCCTCCCACAGTAGATACTAACAACTTGCATGCTGAATGAATACTATTTTTCCTTTTTTTTCTTTTTTTTTTTTTTGAGTTGGAGTCTCACTCCGTCACCCAGGCTGAAGTGCAGTGGCACACTCACGGCCACCCCAGCGTCAACCTACTGGGCTCCAGCAATCCTTCCGCCTCAGCCTTCCAAGTAGCCTGAACTACAGGCACGTGCTACCACACCAAGCTAATTTTTTATTTATTGTAGAGACAAGGTCTCACCAAGTTGCCCAGGCTGGTCTCGAACCCATAGACTCAGGCAATCCACTCACCTCGGTCTCCCAAAGTGCAGGGATTACCGGCTGAGCCACTGGGCCCAATCTGAATATGTTTTTCATATTTTTATTCTTTAACCAAGTTTCTTAAACCCATTTGCTCCTATTTGATTAAAACTGTATCATATGATACATGCACCTCAGATTTACTTAGTTTTCCCAAAAAAATTGTAAAGCTTTTTCTCATAACATCCTCAAACTGTATATGGAAATCTCATATGAGGAAACTCAGGGCTTTAAGTTCTTTGATTAAGGCAAAGAAGTCATAGAGTTAAGAGGACAGAGATAAACTCTAAACCGAAGTTCCCATTTCTGGCTTCACCTTAGAACCACCTGGGGAGTTTTCTAAAAATGAAGATACCTGGGCCCCATGCCCAAAGATTCTGATTCACCGGATTCATTTTTTTCAGCTCTCTGGTAGTACTGTATAGCCAAGGTTGAGAACCACGTTTAAACAAGAGGTTGTCAAACTGTAGCCCGTAGGCCAAATCTGACCTACTACTTGTTTTTATATAACTCATGGACTAAGAAATTTTTACATTTCAAATTGTTGGGGGGAAAAAGAGCAAAAGATGAATATTTTATGACATGTTAAAATTATATGAAATCCACCAGGTGCAGTGGCTCACACCTACAATCCCAGTACTTTGGGAGGCTGAGGTGAGAGGATTGCCTGAGTCTATGGGTTCGAGACAAGCCTGGGCAACTTGGCAAGACCTCATCTCTACAATAAATCAAAATAAATAAATAAATAACAAGCTGGGTGTGGTAGCATGCACCTGTAGTTCCAGCTACTTGGAAGGCTGAGGCGGAAGGATTGCCTGAGTCTAGTAGGTCGAGGATGCAGTGGCCATGAGCATGCCACTGCACTCCAGCCTAGGCAATAGAGTGAGACTTTGACTAAAAAAAAAATATATGAAATTCAAATTTCAGTGCCCATAAATAAAGTTTTTAACAGAACACAACCATGCTCATTCATTTACATATTGCCTCTCACTGCTTTCACACTGAGACTGACTTTAACAGGGTCTGTATAACCTGCAAAGCCTGAAATATTTACTATCTGGTCCTTTATAGAAAAAGTTTGTGATCTCTGGTTTAAACCTTCCAAGTAGAATAATAAACTAGTCATAATATGGCCAGAAAAGCAATGTGAGCTTGGAAAATAAGAATTTATATATGTTAATAGGTTTGTGGAACTTTCTCTACATTCACCTCACCGCTGAGAGGAACCCTAATCTCAAATTCTACCAGGGTGGCAGTGTTCTTTGAGTGAGAATGGTCACTGCTGTGGATCTAGTCAGATGGTTGGTGATTACTTTCATAGATTTCCAGGCCTGGTTCTTGGTGTATTCTGCATCAACAAGTTTTGGATTTTTCCGAGATAGAAGAATGAGAGGATCTCGTTCTGGACTTGTCCTATAAAAGAAACAAATACATGACATAAAGCTGTGTGGCCTATTCCATAATACTGTTCCCATTCCCTGAAAGGTGAGCAGTACTAGGACCCAATGCTATGATTGTCTGCACAGATGGACAATTCACTGGTGCTGTGACCGCAGAGAAAAGAGATACTGGACACTGCAGCATCTAGGTGACCCAGGGCTGGCCCCCACTGGACCTTCAGGGACGGGGAGTGTTCAGTCCTTCTTCGATTGTGTCTGGTCTTGAAGTCGATGTTGTTCTGGTCACTACAAGGAAAGTGCATGTAGCTTCTATAATCATTAGTACTCATAGCTGTGTGACTAGGTAATTACCACTCATCTAAATAGCTACATGACCTTTGCAGTATACACTCTGTAAAGTCTAGTATAATATTTAAATTTTTAAAAATGCACAAAAACTAAAGTGCTTAAAAACCTGATGAAAAGTGGAAAAAGTCATAGTTACAGCAGAGGGTCTTAGCATGTGAAGGTCATGGATCCTTTAAGAAACTGAAAGGGTTAATCACAGTGGCTCATGACTATAATCCCAGCACTTTGCCAAGGTGAGAGGATTGCCTGAGCCCACAGGTTCGAGACCAGACTGGACAGCTTGGCAAGACCTCATCTTTACAATTGATCAAAAAATTAGCTACGTGTGGCGGCGACTGCCTATAGTTCCAGCTATTTGACAGATGGAGGTGGAAGGATCATCTGAGCCCAGCAGGCCGAGGCTGTGGTGACCCTGAGCATGCCACTGCACTTCAGTCTGGACGTCAGAGTGAGACTTCAACTCAAAAAAAAAAAAGAAAAGAAAAAGAAACTGCTAAGAACTGTGAACCAACGCCTGCTCCTTCCAGGAAAAATGCACATATCGCCATGGTATTTCAAGAGGATCCTAAAACACTTAACGCTCAGACACGGCCCCAAGTTAAGAATCTGTGGTTTAAGATCTGAGAATCAGAGAAGTTGAGAAGGACCAGTAAGCAGTCGCTGGTTGGCCCATCTGCATGCTGAAGTCAGCTGCCCAAGCAAAGAGGCGAGTCAAGAGAAAGTATAATCTCTGGCAGGGACAAAAACTGCAAAATCCTTCTCCCTTTGTGGTCTTTTCTATTCATCTGTTCCACAGATACATATTGTAGATCCACCTGCCAGGTACTGTTCTTGACACCGGGAATATGGAGCTGAAGAACCCAGACAGGGCCCCCTAGCACTTTTCCCACGTCCCTCTTCTCTTTCCTCCCTGCTTCCCCCTGCATTTTCACCAGTCTCAGTCTGTGCTCTTCACCACCATTTGGCAGTCACAAGGTCTGAAGAAAAAGGCAGTCAGGAGGTTTGGTGATGAGTCCTGCTCTGAATTAACCAGCAGAGGGACCATGGCATGATCATAAGCTACTCCTAGGAAACGTAACAAGACAACAGCCATTTGTTCTGTTCATCATTATCCAATCAACGCCCAACACGGTGGCACTGTGTTAAATGACTACATGGAAGAACTTTATGCTTATGAATTTCAGTTTAATAAAGAGTGATTTGGGCAAATAATGTGGGCAAATAGTTTCTTCTCTAGTATAAAATTATGAATCCACACACTTCTTAGCTATCTTAGCTTTCCCTTTTAGCTACAGAGTTCGTCATTCCCTCAAGATAACTTACATTTTACATTACTTGGAAGAATATCTTTGTAAAATGTCAGAAAATACACTCACCTTGATCCTCGGAAATATGCTGTAGAATTTTTCTTTTCCCATGGCCACTGTGCTGCTGACCTAAAAATACAGAATTTGACCAGATTCTATGTTTTTTTCCTCGACTATACAAAAATGTGTTTTAATCATTTCTGAAGATTAGTTCTGAGCTTTGTATTTTTAAGTAAGTTTGATCAAGGCTACTCAAAACAAAAAGCCCTCAGTGACACTATGTTCCCTTTTGCTATCATTTCATTGCTCTGTGGGGGCCAGTCAGTTAGCTCTACAAATCTAATGCTCATTAACAAGTTAGCAACATTGAAAGAAAATCCCCAAACACTAAATGACATGTTTAGGGTCGTTTAATTTGGCATAAGGAGGATTTCTCTTTAAGTAGGGTGCTATTGATAAAATTTTGTGAGGAGAACTGAAAAAAAAAAAAAAATCAGAAATGGAATGAAATGGAAACCACACTCTCTGATTTTATGTTCTCAGTAAGTGGGAAGTGTTATCAGATTTAGTCTACATTTGCAAGCAACCTAGTATTCTTTCTTTTTTTTTTTTTTGAGTTGGAGTCTCACTCCATCGCCCAGGCTGGAGTGCAGTGGCACGCTCACAGTCACCCCAGCGTTGACCCACTGTGCTCCGGCTATCCTTCCACCTCAGCCTTCCAAGTAGTTGTAACTACAGGCGTGAGCTACCAAGCCTGGCTAATTTTTGATTTATTGTAGAGATGCGGTCTCGCCAAGGTGCCCGGGCTGGTCTTGATCCCACAGGCTCAGGCAATCCACTTGCCTCGGCCTCCCAAAGTGCTGGGATTACAGCTGAGCCACTGAGCCCGGCCAACCTAGTATTCTTAAAACCATACTAAATGCTCTATGAAGATTAAGTCCTGAAAATTCAGGTCTTAGTACACATCACCATGACCAGCCTTCCTGGCTAAAACTGCTAGCTCGCAGATGTGTCATTCTTAACTTTCTTTGTAGTAACCCCCCCTGCACAGAAGTCTTTGCAGCGTTTTCCTCTGAAAAAGGAGGGGTAGGCTGAACTGGAGTTAATGAGGGATTGGTGAGCAATATTATAGTAATGGAGAAACTCAGGATATCAGTTTTTCAGGTAGAGGTCCTTTTCAGACATATCTAGTGTATGTCACTCATTTTCACGCAGTAGAAAGCAGTGCTCAGGATGTTCCAGACCCTCAGCTAACCTGGTTCATCCTCCAGCCCTTCTTGCTGAATCACCTTTACCTGACTCTCAGTCCAAGGCCAGAACTACCTCTTGTTTCCCCCATACTTCCTCCTATGATGGGTGTACACACAATATAACCATTGTAGCACTGAATTTCTTTGAGTAAAAAATGTTACATGCTCGTTATATAAAATTCTAATGAAAAAGCACAAAGGGCCAGGCTTGGTGGCTCAGTCTGCAATCCCAGCACTTTGGGAGGCCGAGCCAAGTAGATTGCCGAACCCGCGGGTTCAAGACCCATCCAGGCAACTTGGCAAGACCTCGTCTCTACAATAAATAAAAAAAATGAGCTGGGTGTGGTAGCACATGCCTGTAGTTCCAGCTACTTGGAAGGCTGAGGTAGAAGGATCGCCAGAGCCCCAGCAGGTCGAGGCTGCAGTGGCCAGGAACGTGCCACTGCACTCCAGTCTGGGTAGGCCACTGCACTCCAGTCTGGGCGACAGAGTGAGACTCCAATTCAAAAAAAAAAAGTAAAAACCGCATCTAGAATCTGCCCATCCACAGGTAACAATGTAATGTTTTAGTGAAGAATTTCTTTCCAATCATTTCCCCATTTTAATGGCTCTCAACTAGGGTAATTTTGCCCTCCCTCCCTCCCACCCTGGGAACACTCGGAACTACTGGGGGACTGCTACTGGCATTTAGTGGGTAGTGGCCAGAGATGCTGCTAAATAATCCTACAGTGCAGAGAATATCCACAGTGCAGAGAATAGCTCCCACAAAAAGGAAGTAACCAGCCCCAAATATCAACAGTGCCATGACTGAGAAACCTTGCGCTCTTTATAACAGGGGTAATACCATACATACAGTTAGGTAACATTCTTATCAGTAAATATAAATAATAACAACAGCCAACACATAAACAGCATTCACTATGTTCCAGACACTGTTCTAAGTGTTATATATATATCTCAAATCATTCTCACTACCTTGTGAGACAGGTTTTATGATCTCTGTTTTATAGGTAAGGTCCTTGTAAGGTTAAGGAATTTGCCCAGAGACATGCCGCTAATAAGAGCCAGAGATGACACCAGAGTCACGGTTTTTAAGGCCCATTCTACATTGCCTCTCCATTCATGCACAGTATTCTATTTTATAGTCATGTCACAATTCACTACATCCCTTAATGATGGGCTTTTAGGTAGCTTCCTTTTTTCTTTCTCTAAGAAACAACATGGTAGTAAAATCCTTGTACACACATCTTCATACTTGTCTAATGAACTCCTCGGGATACATTCTGGATGTAGAATTGCTGGGTCAAGGGATATACAGTATACATTTTCAATTTTTACATATACAGTATACCCAAAAAAACCTTTAAAAAAACTGTATCAATTTACACTCAAAATTACTTCTCTTCATTTCTTTGGTCCCTAGGAATGCTGTGTTGAATGCATAGATGAACTGTGTAAACTGTGTATCATTATTGTTTTTTATCTCCTTCATTCTCCTACCACCTACCCATCCCTCAAAGACCTTAGTCAGGACTTTTTTCCTTTGGCCAGCACTAGCACTGGCCACTGCCATAGCCTGGTGCTATGCCAGTCCTCTTTTTAAAACCCTCTCTGACAGCAGCAAATGAAATCTTTAAATCCATAGGAACACTGAATTCCTCTACAGAAATGCAAGTCAATGAGGACAAACTCCCAAAAGATTATAAAAACAGACAGAAAAATGGCAGGCAGATGAGGATAGATAAACAAGAAGACTAATAAAGGTTCAAGGTAAGAAATAAAATCACATTGCTAGAGATTCTGAATAGAGAGATCTAAAAAACAAAATTGCTAGCCGGGCTCGGTGGCTCAGCCTGTAATCCCGCATCTTTGGGAGGCTGAGGTGAGTGGATTGCCTGAGCCCGCAGGTTCGAGATCCACCTGGGCAGTGAGACCTCATCTCTACAATAAATCAAAAAATCAGCCGGGCGTGGTAGCGCATGCCTGTAATTCCGGCTACTTGGAAGGCTGAGGGGGAAGGATCGCTGGAGCCCAGCAAGTCAAGGCTGCGGTGGCCGGGAGCGGCCACTGCACTCCAGTCTGGGCGACAGAGTGAGACTCCAACTCAAAAAATAAAAATAAATAAATAAAAATTAAAAAAAATAAAAAACAAAATTGCAATTATATAATCATGAATGAATTCAACTGAAGGATAAAAAGGGAAGATATCAAAGGAAAAAAATGTTCATATAAGACGATTAGGTTTCAAAACATATTCTCTCTCCCTAAAGATTGCTGACCAGTTTACAAGGGAGGAAACAGTAACTACACAGTAGAGGGACGAGATAACATCTTGACAAGGGGGTCAAAATTAACATCTCTAAAGAGGGAGGCAAAATCACTTAAGGAAGTATTTGGACCAGAAGTACATAAACTGAATCTACTCATGAGGAAATCAACAAAACCAAGCTGAAGAACATTCTAGGGGGAAAAAAAAAGTCCTTATTCTTTCAAAAAGTTAATGTCATAAAAAGAACGACAGACTGAAGAGTTAGCTCAGGTTAAAGGAGACTCAAGAGATGTGATAACTAAATGCAATCTGTGATCCCATACTGGAGGGGAAAATGCTAGATAGGATATTATTGGAACAATTAAATATTACATCGGGCTGGGTGTGATGGTTCATGCCTATAATCCCAGCGCTTTGGGAGGCCCAGGTGAGAGAACTGCCTGAGCCTGTGGGTTCAAGACCAGCCTTGGGCAGCTTGGCAAGACCTCATCTCTATAATAAAAAAATGAAAAAATAAAAAAATTAGCTGAGCATGGTGGTACATGTGTGTAGTTCTAGCTACTTGGAAGGCTGAGGCAGAAGGACTGCCTGAGCCCAGCAGGTCGAGGCTGCAGTGGCCAAGAGCATGCTACTGCCCTCCAGCCTGGGTAACAGAGTGAGACTCCAACTTAAAAAAAAAAAAAAGTATTATATCAATATTGCTTCCTGAATTTGCTATTTGAAGTTTGGTTACAAAAGAGAACATTCTTGTTCTTAGGGAACAATCTTGTTCTTAGGACTCTTTACCTTTAAAAGTATTAAGAGGTAAAGGGTCATGAGGTATGCAATATACTCTCACATAGTCCTGAAAACAAACTCTGTATATATTACCTATGCAACCTAAATATCAATCAAAGGAAATAATTGAGTTATCATCCACCCAACGGAACATGATGCTGCTATTAAAAATGAGGTTAGAACTGGGCACAATGGCATACACCTATAGCCCCAGCAACTCAGGATTCTGAGGGTAGGGATCCCTTGAGCCCAGGAGTTTGAGTCCTGTGTGGGCAACATAATGAGTACTCCATCTTTAAAATACATAAATAAAATGATGAGGTTGTTTCACACATACTGACAAGGAAAGATTACTTACCTACACCAATAACTAGGGGGAAAGTTGCCTAGGCGATACACATTTGTAAATTTTTATGAGAATGTATGGGTTTCATATTCAGCAAAAATATTTTTTAGATTTTTTTTTTTTTTTTTTTTGAGTAGGAGTCTCACTCTGTTGCCCAGGTTGAAGTGCAGTGGCATGCTCATGGCCACTACTACCTCAACCTGCAAGGCTCAGGCTATCCTTCCACCTCAGTCTTCTAAGTAGCTGAAACCACAGGTGCATGCCACCACACCTGGCTAATTTTTTTATTTATTGTAGAGACGAGGTCTCACCAAATTGCCCAGGCTGGTCTCAAACCCCTGAACTCAAGAAATCATGTCACCTTCACCTCCCAAAGTGCTGGGATTACAGGTGTGAGCCACTGGGCCTTGCTGAAATGTTTTTAAAGATTTTAAAAACAAAGCAGCTGTATAACAGGTTAGGAAAGAGCTACGAAAAGAAAAAAGAATGCTAAAAGAGTATTTGCAAGTACCTGAAAAAAAAAAGAGAGAGAGAATTAGAAAATTAAGGCCAAGGTCAAAGATAACTTACAGTAAAAAAAAAAAAAAAAAAAAAGGTTAAATTAGCCAGGCATAGGCCAGGCATGGTGGCTCAAGCCTGTAATCCCAGCACTTTGGGAGGTCGAGGTAAGAGGACTGCCTGAGCCCATGGGTTTGAGACCAGTCTGGGCAACTTGGCAGGACCTCATCTCTAAAATAAATTTAAAAATTAGCCGGGCGTGGTAGTGCGCACCTGTAGTTCTGGCTACTTGGAAGGTTGAGATGGAAGGATTGCCTGAGGTCAGCAGGTTGACACTGGGGTGACCATGAGAGTGCCACTGCACTGCAGCCTGGGCGACAGAGTGAGACTCCAACTAAAAAAAAAACAATTAGCCAGGCATGGTGGTGCATGCCTGCAGTCCCAGCTACTCAGGAGGCTGAGGCAGGAGGACTGTTTTTGAGCCTGGGAGGTTGAGGCTGTGGCGAGCTGTGATCATGTCACTACAGTCCAGCCTGGGTGACACAGTGAGACCCCGACCCCCCAAAAAAAAATTTAAAACAGGTTTTTTTTGCTTTCTCAAAATTATGTTAAAAAATGAAAAAATAAACAAGAAATGCTCTCTGGCCAGGCTCGGTGGCTCAGCCTGTAACCCCAGCACTTTGAGAGGTCGAGGTGAGTGGATTGCCTGAGCCTGCGGGTTGGAGACCAGTCTGGGCAACTTGGTGAGACCTCGTCTCTACAATAAATAAAAAAAAATTAGCCGGGCATGGTAGTTCCGGCTACTTGGAAGGCTGAGGCAGAAGGATTGCCTGAGTCCAGCAGATCAATGCCAGGGTGGTGTGAGTGTGCCAATGCACTCCAGCCTGGGCAATGGAGTGAGACTCCAACTCAAAAAAATAAAAATAAATGACATTCTCAATGTCTAGAGAATACAGGTAATATTGCCAGGTAATCAGAGAGAATAATGGATTTAGAAACCTGGACTTCAGGTAGATTTGTTTCTGACCTTGACCAAGTCACTTAACCTCTCTGGACCTTCATTTCCTTATCCCTAAAATAAAGTGCTGGATAAGGACAATTTACAGTTCGTTTTGTGAAATATGAGATTAAGTTGTTTTTTTAAAAATTCCAAGTAGGTATCTACTGGAGAACTGCCTTGTTTTTTAACAAAGATCTCTAACCACCACTGAGTCTGTGGTCCTATACATTTCTCCAGGAAGGGAATAGTCTCTTAATCCCCTTGAATCTTCAGCTACACTTAGTAGTGAGGATAGATATTTGTAGAAATAAAGTTCAATTAGATCTCTGCTTTCCTTAACACCTGACAGAAGATTTATAAAAACTGTTTCTAGAAGTTTTCCAATTAAGTACCAAAGTTGTTTGAATAATTAATGCAAAGTGTGGCTAGGTAAGAAATACCTACAGTTTAGATGACCTATACAATCTTAATTCTAAAATGCCAGCATGACGGAATCAACAGGTCAAGGCATGTCTCAGTCATGAATCAGAGAGGATCTGGAATAAGTCTGTACTTGAGATACTCATGGGACATTTACGCTCTCATACCTGTCTTAAGTACTTAGCTCTCACAAGTACATGTGCATTCTTCCAGGTAATTTTCTATCCTCCCTCACAACATACTCATTCATTTTTTTTTCTTATGAAAGTAGTTCACTCTTATTTAAGTAATCTCAAAAGTACAGAAAATTTTAAAGAAGAAAACAAAATTCTCCTATCATCTCTTCCATAGAGACATTGCTGATAGATTCTTGGCCTTTTTCGATGAATATGTAAAATATTTTTCTATACACACAAAATTGTTTATGCTATAAAGTTTTGTCTCTTATTTTTAACTTAAAAATTAGTCATTTTAAAGTAAATAATTTGTTATATAATACTGCTTACTTTAAGAAACACACAAAGAAGAAAAAAAAAGTAAAATCTCTAAAGGACCTACCTTACCAGATCTTCTCTGAAGAGGTCCCACCGTCCAAGACCTGTAGGATAAATTGGCCAAACGGCGGGTCCCCCTTCCCAAAATGTCCAAGCAGGATACATGATATCATGGTACTCTGATGTCTTCGACAGAAACAGAAAGGTTGTTCTAAATCAGTCTTTGAAGACAGCAAGAAGAAGCAAACTGCATTCACGCCTCAGGATCTGGACAAAGGCCTTGTTCTAGTGTCACATTGCCAAAGACATATTTTTTCTAGTCAAAGTCTAGACTCTAGACAATAAAAGGTAAAGGTGACCATGGCTTAAAATTCATAAGCTTACTGAATCCCAGACTACAGAATCACATTAAAAGTCAACTTTTTCCGTTCTCCAAAATTCTTTTGTTCGACAGGATACACACTATTGAGATTTTTAGTTAAAGAAATTAATACACCCAATTCTGAATAATCAGGGAGTGTTCTCGCTTGGTGTTTTACACTGTCTTGTCAGTTCTTAGTTATTTCCTAGTGAGTCTTTCTTTTTTTTGACTCTGAGCCTCACTCTCACTCTGTTGCCCAGGCTGGAGTGCAGTGGCACACTCACGGCCACTGAAGCCTTGACCTGCTGGGCTCAGGTGATCCTTCCACTTCAGCCTTCCAAGTAGCTGGAACTACAGGCACGCGCTACCACGCCTGACTAATTTTTTTTATTTATTGTAGAGATGAGATCTCGCCAAGTTGCCCACCTGGTCTCAAATCCCTGGTCTCAGGCAATCCTCTCTCCTTGGCCTCCCAAAGTGCTGGGATTACAGGCTTGAGCCACTGTGCCTGGCTCCTAGTGAGTCTTAGGAGAGCAAAAGCCAGGAAATACAGTGCATTCAATGGTTTAGTGTGGGCTCTTAAGATGGATCATATGGGCTTGAATGGTGACCCACCTGTTTACAGCTCTAGGCTAGTTACTTAATCTTTTTATGCCTCAGTATCTTTATCTGTGTATTGGGGAAAATAATAATACCTACCAATAATATGACCTATCTAAAAGGATTATTTTGAATAGTAAATAAATTAATGCATGTAAAAAAAGCTTAGAGCAGTGTCTGGCACATAGTAAGTACTCAGTAAGTGTCAACTAGGGTTACCTAACACTGTGGCACTGTTGAGTGTTCACTGGTTGGGCAATAAATTCTTGTTTATTCATTGATCAGGGTCAGAAGTGCGGATGGGCAGAATGGGGGAAAAGGGTGTTATCACACATATTTTGAAGAAAACTTGAAACCACTTGTTCCTTTTTTGTTACTTTTGTTCAAAATCTGGCCACTGATGAACCCCTAACTCTACTGTTTCTTCTGCAAGGCACTGGAAATATATGTGCAATATGCTATTTGTCTTCTCTTGAATAACTTAAAAAATGATGTGATACATCAAGCACCTCAAGCATAATAGCTGTTCAGTGGAAGATGTCCAATTAACTATAAAGTTGACAGACTAAAATCCCTTTCTTGGAAACTAGGAGCCACAGATTAAAAAAATAATAGGAGGGAATATAAACCAGAAGTTAGCATACTGATGGTCACACTTTATTACCCACAGAAACAACAGATAAGTAACAAACACAAAGTCCTTACTGACTTACATGAGAGCCTCTATCTGTTCTTCTGGGAGAATTTCACGACAAACAATGGTACCAAGCACTTTTGAGAAAAGAGGCTAGACCATGGGAAATGCAACACAAATTTGGCCTCAGCCTATTTGCAACACAGGAAATAAACAAGTCTAGAGAGAAAGTAAACTGTGATAAGGAAAAAGTGGGAATTAAAGTCCCTCTGCTTTGGAAAAACCAAATCAGAGATGGTGTCCCTTTCCCAAGTCCCTGGGGTTTTCCTCAACTCCCTCTTACCCCATAGCATCTTCCATCCCCTTTCTGCTAGCTTTCCCACCTCTACCCCCCAAATGGTTTCATTCCTAGTCTCTGAAGAACCAAGGTTCATTTCTGAAATACATGAATCTGAGCACTGAGAAGATATTCCCTGTCCCAAGGTTGCCAGGCCCACGCACGGGGTGTCCTACCCGCTCCTGTCCTCTGTGACAAGTTTCAAAAATCACCCCTCATATAGCCCTCTCAGGTCTCCCAGGCCTATTCCCTCAATACACTGCTTGGACACAAACCATGTAGAATTACTTGGCACCTTCAGGTTCACCTTTAGCCATGCTGGGCCCCTTGAATACTGTGACAGGTGAGACAGATGATACCCAGCACTACGGCTGATATGTACATCATAGGAGCTCAACATTTTTGAACAAAGATATTCTCTAATTTCAAGTCTATGAGCTTTCTTGGACCCTTTTCTCCCGTGCTCTGTAGGCTCTCCAAGGCCCACTTTCAATTTCTTGTAGATTCCTCTGGCCTCTCACTCCTAGTCTCCATCCGTACCTCTATCGCCTCTTAAGCACTCTTTCCCACATGTGCTCTCAACTCATCCCCCCCCTCAGTCTTACTGCTCAAGCACTATGAAGCTAACATAAAGACACAGTCATTCCTGGACCTCAGGCCTCATCCTCATCGGTACCCACCAGACTCTGTCTCAGGACAATGATCTCCTGCTCATATCCTAGAAAACCACCTTCCAGATCCCTGTACTTACCTTACTGAAGGAGAAGATGGGAATTGCAGGCTCCATCCATTTAGGAACCTGCGGATAATCTCGTACATTGATCACCATCTCCATGTCAGGGAGGCGTCCAATAACTTCCAAAATAAAGTGCTCAACACCACTACATCTGTCAATCAGAAACAGAAACACCATAAATTCACCAGACTGGTGCTTGCATGACAAGGCAGGATCCCATTCACACTTTAAAATAAGACATGCCAGGCATGGTGGCTCATGCCTGTAATCCTAGCACACTGGGAGGCTGAGGCGGGAGGAGCACTTGAACCCAGAAGTTCAAGACCTGTCTAGGCCATATAGCGAAAACTCAGCAATAAAAAAAAAAAAAAAAAGCAGGGTATGTTGAAGTGCACCTGTAGTCCCAGTTACTCAGGAAACTGAGGCAGATTTCCTAAACCCAGGATGTTGAGGCTGTGGTGAGCAATGATCAGTGCCACTACACTCTAGCCTGGATGACTGAATAAGACTCCAAAACAAAAATAAATAAATAAATAAATACTGAATAAAATGAAATGAGACAGGCCAGGTGTGGTGACTCATGTCTGTAATTCTTGAAGTCTGAGGCAGGAAGATCACTTGGAGGCCAAGAGTTCATGACCACCTAGGAAACACAGTGAGATTCCTCTCCACAAAAAAGAAAAAACCACTAAAAAATGGTGGGGTGTCATGGCATGTGCCTGTAATCCTGGCTACTCAGAAGCCTGAGGCAAGAGGATCACTTGAGCTCAAAAGGATTGCTTGAGCTATGATAAAGCCACTGCACTCCAGCGTGGGGTACAGAGGGAGACCTTGTCTCCAAAACTAAAAATAAAAAGTAAGATAAGCCAGTGTTCAGATCATCAGCCTACTGTAAAGCGTCCTGAAAATAATGCTTCTAAAGGGACTGTTCCTCTATTTTGTATTGTGCAAGTTATCATTCCTAGCTAAGCTACTCTAGCTTACAATACTTAATAAACATTTCCAAATAAATCATCACAGCTTTGAAGGCAATAATGATTGTTATTCCTTTCACTTTTCCTCCATTCGTTCCAGTTTTTTCTATATTTCCTTCATATGGAACAGTTTAATTAGTAGGTAAGATATGAATTCTGATATGAACTGGAAAAGTTAATTTTCTAACTGTGTTCCTTTGGCTTTTTATTTCTACTATAATTAGTCTTCAAATTTATGAGAAATTCAGCCTGAATACAGAACAATATCAAAAGCAGTTCTGCAAGCCAGAAAAGTGTCAGATACATGATCGTGGATACTGCAACACAGCTTTCTGACTAGACTCCCTGGTAATCCTCAGGGGATTTCTTTAAAGGAAGAAAAGATACACTGACAACTTGTTTCTGTTCCATCCTTTGAGGTCCTGACCAGCAATATATACAAAGGTAGCATTCAAAGGCTTGATCACAATCTTCTGGCAGTATGGAAATGGCTGATTTAAAGTATTATTTTATATACAGGTAGATAACTACAAAAATGATCAATGTTTACAAACATAGAAAAAATGCTCACATATATTAATAATTAGGAAATGTGAATGAAATAGATGCCAAGTTATCAATCTGATTGTAAAGATCAAAGAGGCTGACAGCACACATTGTAGGTGAGGGTGTGAGGTCTATTCAGAGCATGTGATACAGGGGCAGTAGAAGCGTAAATAAGCACAACCTCTTTAGAGGACAATTTGCTTCTATTTATAATTTTTAAAAAAAAATTTTTTTGAGTCAGGGTCTTATTCTGTTGCCCAGGCTCAAGTGCAGTGGCACAATCAGGGCTCACTACAGCATTCCCCTGCTGAACTCAGGTGATGCTCTCACCTCAGCCTCCCAGGCAGCTGGAACTACAGGCGCACACCACCATGTATGGCTAATTTTTTTATTTTTTGTAGAGACGAGGTCTCATTATGTTGCCCAGGCTGGTCTCTTAACTCCTGGGCTCAAGCGATCCTCCTGCCTCAGCTTTCCAAAGTGCTGGGATTACAGGTGTGAACCACTGAACATGGCCCATTTATCAAACTTTTAAAAAGACATTAATTGGCCTAGTTATTCCACTTTTAGAAATTTTAGGCCAGGATCGGTGGCTCAGCCTGTAATCCCAGCACTTTGGGAGGCCGAAGTGAGTGGATTGTCTGAGCCCATGGGTTCGAGACCAGCCCGGGCAACTTGGCATAGAACTTGTCTCTACAAAAATCTTTTAAAAATTAGCCAGGCCCGGTAACCTGCATCTGTAGTTCTGGCTACTTGGAAGGCTGAGGCAGAAGGATCACTGGAGCCCAGCAGGTCAACATAGGGGGTGGCCATGAGTGTGCCACTGCACTCTAGCCTGGGTGACAGAGTGAGACGCCAACTCAAAAAAAAAAAAAAAGAAATTTCACCTACATATATATATATATATATGTATATATATATATATATTTACATGAGTACTCACAGGTAAATGTACAATGATGGTCACTGCAACATTATTGGCATTAGCCAGAAATCAAAGAGTTGTGGTGAGAAATAATGCAAGTGTCCACTGATGGAGGACTGAACAAAGAAATTCATATAATGGATTATTATGTAGCCATTAAAGGGTGAGGTGCTCCCTATGTACTCTCATGGAACAATCTCAAAATCTCCTATTAACAGAAAAGAAATGTAAGCTGAAGAACAGAAAATACAGCATTTTCCAGTTTGTTGATGAATCAAGACACTTGTATATAACCACGCTATGTCTAGAAGGATATAAAAACTTTTAATTATGGCTGCCTGTTGGAAAGTGGTCACAGAAACTAGAGGTCTGGTGGTCTGAAGTGGAAGAGAAACTTCCTTTTCACTGAACACCTTTCTGAGTTATTCAAATATTTTTACCTTGTGTATATAAATGTCTTTGGATATTGAAAAAAAAATCTAGTTAAAAAGTTTTTTAAAATGTTGCAATATAATGTATATATTACAGCTAAAACACTTCTATATTCTTTCACATTTGGCTTTTAAAATAGTACTCTCTTATATATCATATGATCCCATTTATATAAAACTCTAGAAAATAATCTATAATGAGACAGGGCAGGCCAGTGGATGCCTAAGGGGACAGGGAGAGGCATGATAGTGACGGGCAGGAGAGAGGGATTGAAAAGAAGTGTCACCAACAACAAACAAGCAGAGAACTAAATATAAAGCACAATCCCAGGCCGGGCTCGGTGGCTCAGCCTGTAATTCCAGCACTTTGGGAGGCCAAGGTGAGTGGATTGCCTGAGCCCGGGGGTTTGAGACCCGCCTGGGCAACTTGACAAGACCTCATCTCTAAAATAAATTAAAAAATCAGCTGGGCATGGTAGCGCACGCCTGTAGTTCCAGCTACTCGGAAGGCTGAGGCAGAAGGATCGACATAGCCCAGCAGGTCGAGGCTGCGGTGGCCGGGAGCAGTCATTGCACTCCAGTCTGGGTGACAGAGTGAGACTTCAACTCAAAAAACAAAAAGCACAATCCCATTCACAATAGCCACACACAAAAATTAAACAACTCAGCATCTTCCTAACCAGAGAAGTGAAAGACCTTTACAATGAAAACTACAAAACACTGCTCAAAGAAATCAAAGATGACACAAACAAGTGGAAAAATATTTCATGCTCATGGGTTGGAAGAATCAACATTGTTAAGATGTCCATTCTACCCAAGGCAATCTAGAGATTCAACACGATACCCATTAAGTTACCAACATCATTCTTCTTAGATCTGGAAACAAGAATACAGAAATTCATATTGAAAACATAAACAACCACGAATAGTCAAAATCATCCTCAGCAAAAGAAACAAAGCAGGGCAACACCCTCGGGTCCCTTCCCACTGTAGGAGCTATTCAGTCCTCTCAGTAAATCCTACTTTCAAAAAAAGAAAAGAAACAAGGCGGGTGGTATCACACTTCCAGACTTTAAACTTTATCATAAGGTTACAATAATCAAAACAGCCTGGTATCGGTACAAGAATAGGCACACAGACCAATGGAAGAGAATAAAGATTCGGAAGCAAAGCCTCAATTTCTCAACCAACTCATCTTTGACAAAGCCTCCACTACCAACAACTGAGAAGAGGAGAAACTATTTAGTAAATGGTACTGGGAAAACTGGCTGACCATGTGCAGAAGAATGAAGCAGGACCCCTACCTAACCCCACACACAAAAATCAACTCTAAATGGATCAAAGACCTAAACGTAAAACCTCAAACTATAAGAACCTTAGAAAACACAGGAGACACTCTTATGGAAATTGGAACCGGCAACCAATTCCTGATCAAAAGTCCAAGAGCCCATGCCATAAGAGATAAGATAGACAAGTGGGACCTCATCAAACTGAAAAGCTTCTGCAAGAGAGCAGGGAGACAGCCCACAGAAAGGGAAAAAAATATTTGCCAACTGTATACCTGACAAAGGACTACATCCAGGATCTACAAAGAACTCAGATGTGCCAAAAGGAAAAACAGACAGTCATATTAAAAAGTGGGCAAAAGATATGAATAGGGCAACCCCTTTGGGTCCCCTCCCACTGTGGGAGTTTTTCTGTCCTCTCAATAAATCCCGCTTTCTCACACACACACACAAAATATGAATAGACACTTCTCAAAAGAAGACATTACAAGCAGTCAACAAATACATGAAAAAATGCTCAGCCTCACTAATCATCAAAGAAATGCAAATTAAAACCACACTGAGATACCACCTAGCTTCAGTAAGGATGACCATCATCAATAACTCAAAAAACAACAGATGCTGGCGAGGATGCTGGGAAAAGGGAACAGTTCTGCACTGTTGGTGAGAGTGAAAACTAGTACAACCCCTGTGGAAGACACTGTGGCGATTCCTAAAAGATCTAAAAATCAACCTTCCATACAATCCAGCAATCTCCTTTCTGGGAATATACCCAGAGGAAATCAAATCATTCTATAAAAAGATATCCAGCTGGTGCGGTAGCTCAAGCCTGTAATCCCAGCACTTTGGGAGGCTGAAGAGAGAGGACTGCCTGACTCTAGGAGTTTGAGACCAGCCTGGGCAACATGGTGAGACCTTGTCTCTACAATAAATTAAAAAAATTAGCCGGGCATGATGGTGCATGCCTGTAGTTCCAGCTACTTGGAAGGCTGAGGCAGAAGGATCACCTGAGCCCAGCAGGTTGAGGCTGCAGTGGCCATGAGTGTGCCACCGCACTCTAGCCTGGACTACAGAGTGAGACTCCAACTCAAAAAAAAAAAAAAAGATATCTGTACATATGTTTATTTCAGCACTATTCACAATAGCAAAATCATGGAACCTACTGTGCTGCCCATCAAAAGTGAACCGGATAAAAAAATGTGGTACCTATACACAATGGAATATTATGCATTCATAAAGAAGGACCAACATATGGACTTTGCAGCAACTTGGATGGATTTAAAGTCTATAATACTCAGTGATCTATCACAGAAACAAAGAACTGAGTATCATATGTTCTAACTCATAAGTGGACCCTGAACATTTATCATACATAATACTTTAGGAAAGGGATTGACAGTAGTGGGACATTGCCGGGAGGGGGAGGGCATAACATCAATAACACTCAAACCAGGCAAAGTGGGGACCAAAGGGAGACTCAAACTTTACCTGTACAATGTCCACTCCTACACCTAATCCTGAATTGTACCCCACATCTATTAAATAAATAAAAAGAAAAGAAGCACAAGAAACCGTTCGGCTGAGATGGCTATGTTCATTATCTTGGTATAAACATACATGAGAGCTTATAAAAGTACACATTTTCTTTATTTTTGATTGATAAATAATAATTATACATATTTATGGGGTATAATGCAATATTTTGATAGATGTTTACATTGTGGAATGATTAAATCCAGCTAATTAACATATCTATCACCTACTAACCATTATTTTTTTTTTGTGAGAACATTTGAATACTTTTTTTTTTTTTTTGAGTCAGAGTCTCTGTTGCCCAGGCTGGAGTACAGTGGCATGCTACCGGCTACCGCAGCCTCAACCTGCTGGGCTTAGGTGATCCTTATGCCTCAGCCTTCCAAGTAGCTGGAATCACAGGCATATACCACCATGCCTGGCTAAGTTTTGATTTATTGTAGAGATGAGGTCTCACCAAGTCACCCAGGCTGGTCTCAAACTCCTGGGCTCAGGCAATTCTCTCACCTCGGCCTCTTAAAGTGCTTGGATTATAGGTGTGAGGCACCACACCCAGCCTGAATTATATGTTTTAAATATGTGCACATTACATCAACCATACCTCAATTAAAGCTGTTATTTTATTTTATTTTATTTATTTTTTTTTTTTATTTTATTTTTTTTTTTGAGTTGGCGTCTCACTCTGTTGCCCAGACTGGAGTGCAGTGGCCGCTCCCGGCCACCACAGCCTCGACCTCTTGGGCTCCAGCGATCAGTCCGCCTCAGCCTTCCGAGTAGCCGGAATTACAGGCATGCGCTACCATGCCCGGCTGATTTTTTGATTTATTGTAGAGATGAGGTCTCGCTGCCCAGGCAGGTCTCGAATTCGCGGGCTCAGGCAATCCACTCACCTCAGCCTCCCAAAGGCGCGGGATTACAGGCTGAGCCACCGAGCCCAGCTTATTTTTTTATTTTTATTTTTTAAGCCTGAGTCTCACTCTGTCACCCAAGCTGGAATGCAGTGACACATTCATAGCCTGCTAGGCCCAGGTGATCTTTTCACCACAGCCTTCCAAACAGATGGGACTACAGGCCACTCCACTATACCTGGTTATTTTTTGATTTATTGCAGAGATGACGTCTTCCCAAGTTGCTCAGGCTGGTCTTGAATCCTCTTAGGTTCAGGCAATCCTCTTGCCTCCACCTCCCAAAGTGTCAGAATTACAGGTGTGAGCCACCACACCTGGTCCTTTTTTTCTTTTTTTTTTTTTAGGCAGAGTCTCACTCTGTCAGCCAGGCTAAAGTGCAGTGGAACACTCAAGACCACCACAGCCTCAACTTGCTGGATTCAGGTGATCCTTCTGCCTTAGCCTTCCAAGTGGCTGGAACTACTGGTACACGCTACCACACCTGGCTAATTTTTTGATTTATTGTAGAAATGAGGTCTTGCCAAGTTGCCCAGGCTGATCTCAAACCTTCTCATCTTCACCTCCCAAAGTGTTGGGGGTAAAGACGTGAGCGTGCTTGGCTAAAGCCGTTATTTAAAAGATATCACTACTGTTCATTTTTGAAATGACTTATTTCTAGCATTAATTAGATGGCCCTCTGGTTCACCAGTAAAATCTCTCAGCTCATTCTTGAAACAAGGAATTTACGTTTTATTTTGTTTAAAACTAAAATTTTAAAATATCAGCTGGGTGCAGTGGCTCAAGCCTATAATCCCAGCACTTTGGGAGGCCGAGGCGAGAGGATTGCCTGAGCCTGCGGGTTCGAGACCAGCCTGGGCAACTTGGTGAGACCTCATCTCTACAATATATCAAAAAGTTAGCTGGGTGTGGTAGCACACGCCTGTAGTTACAGTTACTTGGAAGGGTGAGGTAGAAGGATCACTGGAGCCCAGCAGGTCGCTGCTGGGTGGCCATGAGCGTGCCACTGCACTCCAGCCTGGGCGACAGAGTAAGACTCTGACTCAAAAAAATAAAAAACAAAATAAAATATCATATAGGTTTCTGAAAGTGGGTGAATTAAAAATACCTAGACTTAGAAAGATATAATTTGCAGCTAGATGGGAAACTCTGAAATATCATACAACGGTATGAATTTCATTAAGGAATGAGGTTTGAAATATTTAATTGTATTTGTATTTTGCCCATCTCTGTTTTCCTTAGTTATATGTAGCTGGAATAGAAAACTTTCAGTGTTATTAGAAATATAAATTATATTGCCAGTGAAAGGTCCTGTTCTCCCTTCAGAACATTTCTAAGCTCATGATTCTGACCAAAATGCTGTAAGGGCAGGAAAAAGAAAATTGTACTTTTCAGAAACTTTGAAAGTATTTCATTTCATCTGAGAATTGTTCAGCAAACTATTAAACATTGGGTAAGCCTTCAAAGACCAACAATGTCTATATTCCTATTTTAGTTCTAATTTGTGGAAATTAAAAATTCCCCTGTGCTCAGAATTTGTACTTTGAGTCTCTATTATTATCCCAAGTAGTGAAATAAATGTCTGTATAAAATACTTCAATAATTTTCCCTACTATAATCTTATTTTCCTGATGCCACATAACCAAAATGTAACTGATTTTCTCAGGGTTGTGGGATATTAAGTGATCTTTCTTCTTTTTTGTTTTTACATATTTTGACAGTAAACATTAATTTGTAATAAAGACAAATAATATAAATCTTTATGTCCAAATGGATACTTTTTTTTTTTTTGCAATGCTACACATTTATTTTACTTTTAATGAAAAAATAGAGACTGTTTAAAAAAAGGTTCTTAGGTAAGGTAATATCATGCCCTCTGGGTTCTATACCTTTCCATTTTAGAAAGATTTGGGTTAAAAAAAAAAAGAAGGTTTACCACTTGGTATATAAAGTGCTGTCTAAACCCAACTTCCAGGCTCAGCCCATGACCTTTCCTGCCCGCCCCTGCCCTCAACCTACTGACATGTCACCTCATGGCTAGTGTGATCTGCAGAGCCCCAGTTACTCCTCTTGACTCTGCCATCTTTCCCTCTCTCTCTCTCTCTCTCTCTCTCTCTCTCTCTCTTGAGTTAAAGTCTCAGTCTCTCACTCTGTCACCCAGGCTGGAGTACAGTGGCACGGTAGCAGCCACCACAGCCTTGACCTGCTGGGCTCAAGATCCTTCGACCTCAGCCTTCCAACTAGCTGGAAATACAGGTGCATGCTACCACGCCCAGCTCATTTTTTTATTTATTGTAGAGACAAGGTCTCGCCAAGCTGCCCAGGCTAGTCTCAAATTCCTGGTCTCAGGCAATCCTCTCGCCTCAGCCTGTCAAGTGCTAGGATTACAGGCTTGAACCACAGCGCCCAGCCTTGCCACCTCTCTTGAATAGTCAGTATCTACAATAACACTAACCCACGACAGACACTCAATAAACACCTGTGCTTCTCCTCCTCCTTCAGTCCAGCTCACTCCTACTAGGTCTCAAAGCCTGTGTCTTACTGCTACTACATTCAGGGAAGGAAGAGAAGGGACAGAGCCACAGCCAGGACAATCAGTGATGTGCCCTAGCCTAACAAAGAGAAGAGATAAGCTTTGACAGAGGAGCTGACAAGAAAAATTCCCAGGCAAGGAGAAGAGCTATTTTGTAGTCTCCCCTGAAAGGTGAGGAGGGATTTGCTTATCATTCCCCTGAATTGCTTCTCTATAAAATATAATGAAGTAAGCCTACATGTAATAAAGTCGGAATATATACCTATCTCATAACTCTTACCTCGACGGGAACATGCAGTCATTTTCTCGGTACAATCTGTTCTTAACGATCTGATAGTGAGTCCCTAGCTTCCGTCTGACTACCTCTGCCATCATTTTCCTGGAGATACCTCCTCGGAAAGGCGTCAGATCCTCTTCTATGACCCTGGGAAAGAAAAGGAATCATCAAGGAAAACAGACCAAGAGAGTAGTTGCATTCCACCTACTTCTTCAGTGCATTTAGGTTTAACATCAGAGAACACAGTAAGCTGAGGGAAAGAGAGAGGGTAGGAATGAGCAAGTCTTCTCCAGAAGCACCACAGGCAATCTAAGTCATCAAATGCAATAAAGCTACACAAAGTAAAAAGCAGATCAATGTCTCTTTGTCCTCCCTCCAACTAGATGGGCCATCCCTTGCCAATTCCATATTCCTCCTTCCCTACTCATGCCACATCCATGTCCTCCTAGTCACTGCAGTCCTGTGGGCATCCCCTTCTCGGAATCCCATAGAAGGTATGGTTTATGCCTCCCTTGCAGTTGAACACACATCCCTTCTTCTGGTCTGTCTGGTCTGTACTCACCCCCACGTCCTCTGACAGCCTAACAGCAGTGATCATAAAATACACTACTTTGTATTCCTTTTAAAGTTGAGTACATAATAAGTTTTCAATAAGTACCATAAGCACCAGGTGATCTTTTTAAAAAGCCACAATGACATAAAGAGGATCTAAACATTTTTAGCACATGAGGAATCTGAGACCCAAAGAAGATACCTGCCACAGTGGCAATTAGTGGGAGTACTGGGAATAAAACATGTCTGCTTTCAAAGTTATCTTTCTACCACCCCAAATCCCAGCCCTCACTTGCATTCCTTAAAGGCAACCATCAAAAAACTTATGATTAGATTCACTGATAAACAGATTTATTCCTTCAACAATATTACTGAGTACATACTGAAGGCCAGCCTCAGGGACACAGCAGCACATAAAACACAGATCCCAATCTTAACAAGCTTTCAGTGCAGGGGGAAAAACAGACAAACACGTGCTAAATGTCATAGGGAGTCAGCAGTAATGCAGAAACCCCCTGAGCCTCTCTTACCCCAGAGTATTTTTAGTCTCTAGAAGCAGGAAAACCACCTCAGGCACCCTTTCTGCTCTCAAAACATGCTTGGCTCTCTGGCCACTGCAGCCAAGGTGTCTCAGGGATGTTAGGGTACTTTCCTGTTGCAAGAACTGAACTCTCAAAGACTAATTATCAAAGAAAAGAACTCACCCATGGTAGCAGCTGCAGTTTTGACTTGTACACGGTTCATAATTCTCCAAAGACCTGTTAATTTGGTCAATAAATACTTTCCATTTTGAACCTTCAAAAAATGAAGTAAATGGCAGTTAACAAAATATCCCACTAAGCATTGTTTGCTAGCTGCAGGCAGGCAGAAGCAACAGAAGATCGAAACTTTCAGAAATCCCCTTCCCATTCCACTGGTGGAAACAGAACCCCGGGAAGGATTTTGGGCTTTTTTCCCTGTAACTCTCCAGCGCTTACGTCTAGTAGTTTTCTCTATCCGAGATCTCAGGTGTCCAAGAAACTGGGGAATTCCCAAGCTCAATGGTCAGTCTTCAGAAGGCTACAGATAAGCTGGATAGGGACACGGATTCTCACCTTCTACTAATCAAATCGAGTCCCGTAAAGATCAATTAAAAGTTACGCATTAAGCCCGCCCTTCGCCTCTTCTGGCAACACACACAAACACACCCCTCTTTGGCAACACACACGCACGCACGAAATTCGCCAAGCGCGGGCGATACCCTCTGCGGGCGAACAGGGGAATTTCTTCTCCTCGCAAAAACTCTGAATTCCGGAGCATGGGTTACTCTCCAGGGTCCTGGGCAGGAGCCGAGACCCAAACACCTTCACCCTCCGCTCCAGGGCGCCCCCGGTGCCCTCTGCCCATCTCCGCGCTGCAGCGGCCACAGCATCCTCCCGGGCGCCAGCCGCGCGGGGAGCAAGGGGATGGGCGAGCGCCTCGCGACCCGGGGCCCGGTAGGCAGGGTCGGTCCTGCCTGGAGCCCACCTGACTCCTTCTGGCGACCCTGCATTGGGGGCAGGAGTAGCAACAGCAGCCACAGCCGAAGCGGCGAGCTACCCCAACACTCCATCGCCAGCGGACCTGCTGCGGAGTCCCCCGCTGCGGAGCCGGCGGAAGCGCGGCCCCGCACAAAGATGGCCTTGGACACCGAGGCACGTGGGCGGAAGGCTGCCCTGCACAAAGATGGCCGTGCTGCCCTCTTTTTTTTTTTTTTTATTTTATTTAATTTCCCCTCCCTTTTCTCCACCTTCCAGGCTCCAGGCCCCTGGAGGAGTTTCCCTAAGAACGCTGCGCCTGGAAGCTGAGGAGGTTGAGCAAACAGACCAGCTCACAACCCTCTCTTCCCTTCGATTCTATAGCATATTGAAAACATCTTAATTTTCTGTATCCAAAAAACTGAAGGTCAGAGAATATCCCCCCCCCCAACAGCTTAGTGGTACAACCTAGGCTTGCCTCAGAGCCTAGGGTAGGTAGTTCTTTCCTTGACATCAAACTGCTTATTAAATAGCATAGATTTGTGGAGCATGTGGTTGTGTACAGCACTGTTAGACCCAAAAGAGTTGCAAATAGTATAGCAAAAGTCCCTTTGTTATAGGAATTTGTAACAGTTGGGGTAACTTAGACATGGAAAAAAGTCAACCGTGTTAAATAAAATTCCTGTTTTGGTCTGCGCTCCTATGCTAGGCCCCGACAGACTAGACTAATCCAAAATGAAGTCACTAGTCCTAGGTGACATGTAATCAAACTGAGCTTTAAAATAGATAAATTTTGCAAAAAACAGGAGATTCACAGCAACCAATCAGAAGGGACCTGGTTTACTTGGGCTGGCATGATAATGAAGTTCCCCGTTTCAACACTTTAAGGAAAGTAACTTCAAAATGACCAATCATAGCCAGGTGTGGTGGCTCATGCCTATAATTCCAGCAGTTTGAGAGACCAAGGTGGGATGACCACTTGAGACCAGGAGTTCAAGACCAGCCTGGGCAACATAGCAAGATCCTGTCTCTACAAAAAAAGAAAAAAAATTACAAAAATTAACCAGGCAATTAGGTATTAGGTACCTGCCTGTAGTTCTAGCTACTTGGTAGGGTGAGGTAGGAGAATCTCTTGAATCTAGGAGTTCAAGAAAGCAGTGAGCTATGATCACACCACTGGACTCAAGCCTGAATGACAGGGCAAGACCCCATCTCTAAAAGACCAATCTGCTTTTGTTCCTTTTTCTGCTTTCTTCAGCCCTTTTCTCCCTATAAAGCCAAGCTCCTCTATTCAGCTCATTAGAACACCTTTCTATTTCATAGATGGAATGCTGTCCAATTCATGAATCGCTAATAAAAGATAAATAAATCTTTAAACTAAATTTGTTGAAATTTTGTTTTTTGACAATGGGCAATATATACTGGACAGTATAGGTATTTATAGATACAGGTCAGTGTAGGTATATATAGTGACCACATAGCTACAAGAATTTATCTATTTTCTTTTCTTTTTTTCTTTTTTTTTTTTTTGAGTTGGAGCCTCATTCTGTTGCCCAGGCTACATTGCAGTGGCACGCTCATGGTTTCTGCAGCCTCAACCTGCTGGGCTCAGGTGATCCTTTCGCCTCAGCCTTCCAAGTAGCCATAACAACAAGCATGTGCCATCATGCCCAGCTGATCTTTTGGTTTATTGTAGAGACGAGGTCTCACTGTGTTGCCCAGGCTGGTCTCAAACCCCTGAGCTCAGGTAATCCTCTTGCCTCTGCCTCCCAAAGTGATTTAATTTTTTTTTTTTTTAGTCATAATCTCACTCTGTTGCTCAAGCTGGAGTGCAGTGGCATGAACATGGCTCATCACAGCCTTCAACTCCTCCACTGATGGGAAGGGTGGTCTTTTCCAGAACACGCATTTTTGTCTTTGTAGGATACCCATCAGACTTTTTTTTTTTTTTTTGAGTTGAAGTCTCACTCTGTCGCCCAGGCCGGAGTGCAGTGGCATGTTCCCAGCCACCGCAACCTGGACCTGCTGGGCTCCAGCAATCCTTCCACCTCAGCCTTCCAAGTAGCTGGAACTACAGGCACGCGCTACCATGCCTGTCCAGTTTTTGATTTATTGTAGAGATGAGGTCTCACCAAGTTGCCTGGGTTGGTCTCGAACCCGTGGGCTCAGACAATCCACTCGGCTCGACCTCCCAAAGTGCTGGGATTACAGGCTGAGCCACTGAGCCCGCCCCACTAGACTTTTAAATACACAAGTTCATGAGCTAAAAGGTCGTCTTATTATCAATTCCATGGCTTTGGTTAGTTAAGGGGTGGTATTCAGCTTTCCACCTTCAACTGGGAAACTGAAAGATTTTTAGTGATTATTATGCCAAACCATGAATTGAAAGATTGGTCTGTCCTATTCTTACATCTGATGGAATTTTCTTTTGATTGACCGAGAGGGGTGGGGTAGGATAGCACGTCTACATTCCAGCCTGGTCGGAAGTAAAAATGTAATAAGAAAAATGCCTAAAGTCTTCCTAAAACCTGTCTACAAGAAATGTATCTATCTGTGCCTAACCTGTACTTGCTACCCTGCCTGAAAAGCACTGTGAGATTTAAATGAAATGTGTAAAGCTACTAGTCCAGTGTAGCTTTACAGCACTGGACTAGTGTAACAACGACACTCTCAGTAACGGTTAACTAATCACATAATCAATACAAAGGACTTTGTATTAAGGGCTTAAAATCTCTGGGGTGAAAGCTCTCACACAAATGCTCCTTTTATCACTCTTGCTCTTCTTCCAATACCAAACTACTGGCAATTCCTGAACTCGTCATGGCATTGCCCACATCCTTACCATTTAATCTGCCACCTCCTTTCCAAAACTACAGCTATTCTCCCACAAACCCCATTACCCCTCACATTCATGGAGACTTGGCTTAAACTTCAAGCTCTCTATGAAGCTTTTCTTGCTTGGTATTGACACCACCGCCATCGCAGAGTTCATCACACTGGCATGCTGTCTCCGGACCTTGGACATCCTTTCAATGTTGCATTTATTGCAAAAGATTGTCATGATTGTGTTACCCTATTTTGTCTCTTCCACTAGACTCTGAGCCTTTGTGGTATTTTCTTAACCCCAGCGTCTATCTAGTTCCTGCTTAACAAATTCTTCACAATAAGCGCAGTCTTGGATGCTGAAGCCCGAATTTACGACTTGGGCTCCTTAACTCAGCGGTGATGTGACCCCAGGTGATGCCTCCCAATCTCCCCTCGTCTGTAAAGTGGGGGGGACACTTATAGGACGTGGTTGTTACGAGGAGTCCACGGGAGAACAGCAAGGGCCGAGAGCTAGCTCGCCGAACGCACCTCGCAGGCGGGACAACTACGTCCGCCAGCGCCAGACCGGGCGGCCGGACCGCGAGCGCAGCTGAGCAGGCGCGCTCCACTGCGCAGGAGGACGCGGGCGGGGCAGGCGAGCCGTCTCCCGGAGGCGGGTCTAGTTCCGGGGGCCTGAGGGCGGCGAGGGCGGCTGACCGTCGCTCAGTGACGTCATCGCCGTGCGCTGCCACGTCTGCTCAGCTCCGCGGTAATGGAGGCTGAGCGTGAGTGATGACGGGGCCGGGCTGTGGCTCTAGCATTAGCTCCGACTCTGGCACTGAATCCGAGTGTGGGTCTGGGTTTGGCATCCCGAAGCCTGGACGGCTTTTTTTCGACCCTCCAGAAGGGGACGGCCTGTGTGCAAGCAGCTGGTTGGAAGCGCTTTAACTCAGGGAGGGAGTTCTCCTGCCTGGGGTCCAGTGTGTAAAGCCGTCGCGTCCTCCCAGGGATCCCTCCCCACCGGCTGGGCCTCTTCCATGCGTGAGTATTACTGGGCTGCTGCACTGTCCCGCTGTCCCGGGCCTGCTTCGGCTCTCCAGGGTGTGCGGCAGGGACCGCTTTGTCGACGCCTCTTAGGGACCACTGTAGAAGTTTGTGGTTTCGCCTTCTTCCATCTCATACTCTGGCCTCTTCCGTCCCAGCTTTTTACTCCTCGCTTTTCTTTCCCTTTATTCGTTAATTGAGCAAGGACCAGCAGTCCCTATATCCAGCGATGTGAATGCTCAGTCTCATTTGGCGTTTGTTAGTCTACAGTCCAAAGCTGTCAGGAATAGAGAACATCAGATCAGTCTGCAATAACGTTTTGAAAACCAGGGTTTTTCTAGAGTGTCATCCTTAGGTTTTTAGTTGTATTGTGTGGGAAACGTTTGGTATCCATGTTAGTGGAGCCATGATTTTTACCAGAGCTTGGTGAAAACAAAGCTTCTTTTCAGTGAGGATCTTTATCTGTTACTTGCCCTTTAATCTTGTAGTTTCAGTCATTACTAAATGATTTTACAGAGGTTTTTCTGGAGTGGGCATTTACTTGAGTTCCTTTCAGTATTTTCACCCTATCATATGGAGATACCACTTGAACAGTTTTACTTTTAAATAATTAAAAGGCCTACTGGTGTTCTTCCATTCATCTTCGTCAGCCCTGACAACAACCTCTGCATAACAGGAGGCTCCCCCCACTGAGATAAAGAAATTCATTTAAGATCAGGTAAAATGTGACACATCTGACCTCAGAACTCAGGTCTGTTGATAACAAAACCTAACATTTTGGACAATGCTGATTTTCCTGCATTGCAAGTGGTTTGAAATACTGAATTGGAAATGCATTAAGCTGGGATGTTTCTTATAAAATTTCATCTAAATTTGTATCTTTCACATGATACAAGCCAACTGACAAAAGATACAAATTGTGACTTTCCTAACGCTGAACAGAGCTTAGATCAGAATTTAGGCTTCTGACATATTAGAGTCTGAGTAGTCCTCTAATTAGAATAAAGTAGGTAATAGACACTGGGAGCATTTGTTTGAAAATCTGGTTTTGCAAGACCTGCTCACTCAGTTTTTCTGGTTGTTTTGTTATGTTACTCACTTTTAAAAATAGTCTACTGACATTTAATTTTTTTTTGTTTTTGTTTTTTTGTTTGTTATTGTTGTTCAGAGTTGAAACAGGTTGACAACCATTAACCTGGGTTGCAGCTACAGGTGGCAGTGGAAGCAGATTGGTTCCCGGACATGCCCGGTGGAAGGAGGGGCCCTAGTCGGCAGCAGCTAAGCCGTTCAGCTTTACCTTCTTTACAGACTTTGGTTGGTGGGGGC